GGTTTTGGTTTTTTCTTAGCTGCAGGACGCATCTGCCTTCGAACGCCTGTATTGCAGCGTCATTGGTCAACCGGCGGGTGATTGTGCCTGGTACCTGACACTAACAGCCAACTCCGCGTGGCGTGCCCTGACAGGCCCGAAAGAGGAGGAGAAGAGCCTGCGTCGTCTTCTGTCGAGGTACTCAGAAAAAAGGCGCGATTCGAGGCAGCCCAGCACGCAAATTAGCGCCGCGGCACCGCGGCTCATGATTCGTAGCCGACGAGTGCCCCATAGAAAGACCCATGCATGGCAGCAGTTCCAGTTCCCTGAGTCCGTCCTTGGAAAAGAGGGCCAGGGCTGCCGCCCCTGGCCGAGGCGCCGGGCTGCCACGACGATATGGGAAAGATGTGCCGGCCACTACCGAGAAGACACCCCCTGAACCGCTGAGGAAGGCCGGACAGTGCAGCCGGCACGGAAGATGGGAAGGGAGGGCGCGGGAGTGCCGTGCTGGCGTGCTGCGGCCTATGCCACTTGGGTGAAGGCCAAGGCAGTAAGGCAGTGAAAAACAGGGCCCAAGTTCCCGTCGCGCTGGTTCATCTGGTTTCTTGCGCAGGTCCAGTTGGCCGATCAATGTGACGAAAATGCGGGCGACAGTGGTTTGCTTGGAAGCCGCCGCGGCCAACTACTGCGATACACATTGGACGGGAAAACAAACAACAGACGACAGACGAGAGCCAGCCAAAATGGCGCCGCTTCGTTAGGTTTGCTGAGGCTGGCTTCTGAACATTGGACGACAGCCTGACTTGCTGTCGACTCAGATAAAGGGGAACACGCACAGAGAGAAAAAGAGACCTGGTCTCGTGTGGCCGGGGAAGGCAAAAAAGAAAGGACGACAGCGTATCCGTAATGTCGCCAACAAACCGAGTGACCTGGCAGCGAAGGGACATCCATCTCGGTTCGAATCCTCCTGCGACACAGACGATGCCACGAAGCCCGGAAAATGCCTCTCGGTTCCCTGGCAGACTCCATCCCGTCCTCGACAACTCGTCACCGACGAAAGGAAGGGGCACTTGGCAAAAAGGTACTTGCGGAGGAGAAAGAGGGGAAGGGGGAAAGAAACTTCAGCGAAAAAAAACTGGAAGAACTGGGTCGCTGACCTCGGTGGGCGAATCGGGGAGGATGGTTCCCAGCTCACGGCCCTGGGACCGCGGTACTTTACCACTTGTCCAGACACTGGCCAAAGTTTTGGAGGGCAGCTCCAAGGTTGTGTTTCTGGGAACAAGACACGAGGGAACAGGATGGTGGGAAGGGGGACGAGTGGGCTTGTGCCTGTCGATCATATTCCGAGTGCGTGGTGCGGTGAACACTGTAGCCAGGAGGTACAGGCACAAGGCAAGCTTACCGCCGTGATAGACGACCTTACCTCAGTCCACCAGACGCTGTAACATTTTCCAGCAGCGCCGGTGTTAAGTGTACTGGGCGGAGTTCCCCGGGCACTGCCCGACGTCTGCCCTGCCAGGAACAAGTTTTGTGCTTGCATCCAGACCCGATTTACGGTGTGCCAGTGCCGGCCGCCCAAGCTGTGTCTGTGCCTGCATATTTCGACGGCCTGGAACCTCAGGTGTGGATGCCTCGCTGAGTTTTCGAGGGATTTTTGAAAAGGATTTTTTCTTTCTTTTTGCCTGAGTCATCCCATGTACTTCCTGACTTAGTAGGTATCTCGACCGAAGGCTGCATATTGAGCGACGGCCGAGCCACCGTCAGCCCGTCGCTGACCTTGCAGTCAGACGCCTCAGTCGCGCCGAGTGCACCCCATGTGCTAAGTTGGGACGAATACAAATGAATAACCAATATGTTCAGAGGCCTCTCAGAGTTCTCAACATCCTAAGCCGAATCGCAAAAAGAATGGACCAGTCTTGCGCCTCATCGGAGCAACGCAATGGGCTTCGCAACCTTGCGAAGTTGCAAGGTTCGTGGTTCGAATCTACAAGCTCAAATCTAAGGTATTTTTTAGAGTGAGAGATGTCCTGTCAATCACCAGCCACCCAGCCCGTCAGCTCGGTCGGTTAGAGCCAGACGAGCAGAAATCCCAGGCTGCGTTGTATCAAACATGTGCTTCCTCCTGGGATGGCATTCAATCGAGTTTTTCTGCCCGTCCTCAGGTACACTGTCACTGCTACCTGCACCCGTACGTCAGGGACGAGCACACACAGTTGGCAGTCGCAAGTGGTTGCATGAGCATGTGTTCCTTGGCGGCCCGTCGATGATCATTGGGACGGGGACGGTCGAGACCACAGCCGGGTACCCACTGATCATCACTCACTTTCCGGACGGAACAAGGCCGTTGTGCATGACTTGCGCAGGCACAAGCACAGGCCCAAACCGTCGCCCAGCAAAAAGAAAGAAAAAACCAGGAACCAAACGGCCACGGACGGTGCGTATGCCCTCCGGCGCGAAGACTGCTCCAAACGGAAAGACTGTCCGTTCGAGAACGGGGTGCGGGCCTCTGCGGGCCTCCAGGTCCTCTTCTCCGTCAACATCACAAGCTCGCAGGGGGTTCAAGCCGGGGAACACTTCTTGCGCTTCCACTGCGTCCCAGTTTTTCGTCCTCTTCCAAGACTTCTCGCCTCTTGCCTCTTGCGGCTGCACTTGCTCGCTTGTCATTGATTCATCAGCAGCTGTTGTCACTGGCTGAAGTGTTGGCTGGAGGAAGTGGAATTCCCTCACACTTCTCAACAGAACCGCTCTTCCTGCTCCACCGGACCGCCGTTGCATTCAGCAGTGGAACGCCGCAACATGGCCTTGCCAAACTGGCTTTTGAGTTGGCCCCAGAACCGTCACCAGCGTCACAGGAGGTTGAAAACTGGCACTCTGCGAACGGTTGCGGAGGTTCGTGACAGCTCCTGACCTCATCATATCCATTGGCACCCCGCCATTCACCGTCATCTCCAACATGTGCCTCCTCTTCGCAGACGACATATTCCCACCACGGAAACCAGTGTTCCGCCCAACAAGTTGAGCTTGAGATGATGGCAAGACGAGAACCATGTGAAAACCTGTCACGACCTTGGCCATTTTTGCCGGTTGCCCACCATGGCACTAACGCCACCGTCATCGCAACCTGCGCAGTAAAAGCTTTTCGCCCGAGGTCAGTCCGGAGGCTCTCCGTCGCCTGTCGATCGATTCGGATGCTTCGCGAGGGGCATGGAGCATTGACGACATATTGATCAACTCTCAGAGAACCAAGATCCAAGAACCTTGAGCATTAACTCCAGAGCTGAGCAGAAAAGCCCCCGCATATCCATCATTATGTTCCGGCGGGGTTTTCCCTGGCCTGACGGCTGATCGATCGAGGCATTGACATATCTGGGGCTGAACCTCGTGCCGGTGGGCACTTACAGACCTTGGAGCCGAGCCGCTGGGATGGAAGACGAGAGCGCCTTTCCCGCTCCGGGCTGACTGCTGAGCGGCCTCGCTAGAGAAACCGCCATCGGTCGGAACGTTCGTCCGGGTACCGGTCGTGGGCTGATTTGATCACATTGCCCAGAAATGGCAAATAACGGCTCGCCGACCTCGGGGAACTGCTCGACTGCGGTGGTCGATTGAAGTTGTCAGAGTCACGCAAGGCACAAAGATAAGCCTATCGATCCTCATTGGGGCGAGATGTCACATGCTAAGCTGCAGTTGTGCTGCAGTGTCAGCAGAGATCTTCTCAATATCACTTCTTGGATATATTGATTGCTATACATCGCTTGAGCATGTATTGGGGATGAGGTGCATTTGCTCAAGCTCTTTGGGAGCCTGGTCTGCTTCTCCCACGAACCGTACTTTCCACTTCCTTCATTATCCCTTCGCAAGGTGCAGAGAAGTCTCCGTCCCGAAACGTTGTTGGTCTTTTCGCGCGAGCTTAAGACATGTTGTGACCTGGAAACACGTTCCGAAAGTACGGAACAATCAAGTCAAGTGTCTTGAGGGGCGATTTGCAAATGCTCGAACTTCGTCGACGATGTCCCTTACAGCACCGCTGCTTATTTCAACACTGGCTGCTGACAGCCTGCTTTTATTCTCATCCACAAGCAGCGCAGTGGCGTAACATGTTGGTCACCCCGCACTGCCCGAGGCTCATGGGTCAAAAAGCGCCGAACACGAAGTCTTACCTTCGCCCTTTGCCCAATCTGGCGGTATTCTTGGCCCAAAAGCATTCCTTAAGCGACGGCCTTGGTTTCTTTGCCAGCGTCCAGTCAAGTGACTCGACGCCGGAGACTTGTCGCTTCACGGACACGAGCGTCGTTGAGTAATACCGATACAATTATCCATCGCCCTGCGGAAATCCGCGACGAATTGTTCTATTTTCTGTCGGTCCTGACGACTGTCGGGTTCTCGTGGTCTTTTGCTAAAATGCCTCCGGGCCATGGCAACGTTGTGGCCTCAACACGAGCGACGCCATCTAACCCCTGCCACCGTTCTGTCACTTGCCCAAAACGAAATCGATAAAGTTGCCGGTCCAATCGAAAGGAGCCTCCAGAATGGCGTCAACTCCAAAATGGAAAACACCAGAACCGTCAGCACCTGTCAGAACGAAGGCCGTCTCGTATCTGGCCGTCAACCGCAGAGTCACATCCTCCCGCATCTTGTCTCCATCTGGCACGACTGCATACCGCCTGCAAGGTGCGTACAGTCATCACCACGCTCCGTATCGTTATCGCGGCCTCCTGGGGTAGGAGATCACGAATTCGGCATGGAGGGGTCAGGACCGGTGCGCCCGACCTAAGATCTGGGGCGAGGCAAACGACCGGGGGATCTGTAAGTTTCAGTCTGCAAGGGCAGACGAGCTAAACCAGCCTTCGCGATGATTCTCGCCGGCGTCCGTTGTGATACATAAGGCGAGTGAGCTCCCCGGCTTGGCTGGTTCTTGTCTCCAAATCACAACCAGCATCACCGAGCAACTACCAACCAGCAGCTTTTGCTTAAGCGTGCCTTTGGCAACTCACTCTCGTTCAACAGCCACTCGCTTCGTCAACATGAAGTCTATGCAGATACTCGCGCCCGCCGCTGGGCTCTTCGCCGTCGCCAATGCCTGGGGGACTGACGTCCACACTTCCTACACCACGATCGTCACTACGGCCTACGAGACGTACTGCCCTGTGAGTCTCATTCGTCTCACTCACGATGATATGATTCAACTAACAGCGGATAGTCTCCCACAACGTTTGTCCACCATAATGTGACTTACACCGCAACGACCGCAACAACTCTTACGATCACCAGTACGTCGCTCCCATCTCTCCTCTTACAACCTCGACTGACACCCTCTAGACTGCCCCTGCACCATCACAACTCACCAACCACCCCCCTACACGACGACTAAGACTCTCCCTCCTCCCCCTCCTCATGCAAACACGACCACAACCTCATGCCCGCCCGACCAAACGACCATCGTAACCAGCACAAAGACCCCCAAGCCCCCTCACCCAACCTACCACAACACCACCATCCTCACCCACACCCCTCAGCCTCCTCACACCCACTCCCCCAAGCCCCCTCACCACAACGGCACCACCTCCACGACCGTCATCGTCGTCACCCCTCCCGCGGAGACGACCATCGCCGGCGTAACCCCCGTCGCGCCGCCCCAGCTCACCACCACGAAGCCAGACTCCCCGCCAACAAACACCCCCGTAGGCCCCACGACTACGCGCCCCGTCACCGTTCCCGGCAGCGGAGCGGAGCATCTCGGCGCCGGCCTCGGCGCGGTCGCTCTCGCGGGTCTCTTTGCTCTGCTCATCTAATGTTCTCTTACTTAATTCCCGATTCCCCATCATCGGGGGAAACCACGTCTTGACACACAAAGGCCGTCAGTCCTAGTTGAGACTTTTCTTATTCCATTCTACACTTTCCTTCATGGGCCGGCAGAAAAAAGCTTGGGGAGGGGAAACTACCGGGATTTACAACACTACATGATACCATATGGCATTTTGATTTCGCGGGATACAGCTAGTCTTTTGTTTTGCAGGAATCATCGTTGGAACGGGTTTGATTCATCTGGAGTCAAGCGGAGTGCGGAGTTTCGCCATACGGGACAGGACAGTCCTTACTTAGTACACACACACATACACATACAATAATAGCGGGCAACAAGACTCGCGATCACGCTCCTTCACCAGAAAACTCCCCAAAAAGGAAAGGAATTGCTTCGTTTGGCGGTGGCGTCTGATCAAGCAAACAGATCGTCCACACCCGCTTATGCGACCTTATCTAAAACTCACCCGGCCCCCCTCGCCAAGAATCAATATTTCTCTTCTCTCGCAGCTGACACGCATATATCCCTCGCCCTCCCCCCTCCCTCTCAGCCTGAACGGTGCAAGGGGGAAAAAAAGCTTTGCTGTGCCGCCGACCTTCACATAAAGTCGAGGAACTAACCGCGACCATTTCAGACTAAAGAGAAGAGATGCGGTGACGATGCCTGATGCACCTCGTATTCTGCCAACAAACCACTCCCACCCCCGCCTCACAAACACACCATCTTCGATACACTCAAGGTCCCCTCTTACCTTACCGTGGACTTCTCCCAGCACTGCAAACCAAGGTAGGTAGATAGACTACCCGGTCTAAGACCTAGCCTTGTGTTAGGTGTTGGATCCCCCAAGTGCGCTTCCCCCGCCCATTCCAAAGAACGGTAGTCCAGTCTCCAAAAACGGTGTTGGCGTCCTCCAAACCCTGCCACGAGCCAAGCACGTGGTTCGCGGGACCTTAAACCGCACCGCACTCAATTCGCCCGGCAGGAATTGAGTCTTCCTGGGAGAAGCGCTCGCTCACTCATCGCCAGAGAGCGGGAGAAAAGGGCCTGCAGAATCTCGTATCTGCGTCACTTGATCGATTCTCCTCGCCAATCCTCCGCCAACGTTCACTTGGAGCCTTTTGGTTTATCCGTCTACTACTGCGTGAAGAAGTTTTCCACTGCCTGCTTGACTTTTGCTGTGGGCGGCGGAAACGTTGCATTTCCACGCCTTTGGAAGTCGAGGATGGTCACGTTCATCTCATCGCAAGACGGGAACAGTGGGAAAACGCCGGTTCCAGGGATTCTGCGGTGTTGCATGAGGCCCACTGCGACGATCATGGGTGGCACATTAGGCGCAATGAAGCCAGGAGAGAAGGAAGCCTCGAGAACGTGGTATCTCAGTTGCATTGTACTCGAGCATTAAACATACACGAGAGCTCTATACTCTCTCTTCTCTCAGACGCCTCATTGCCTGGCCGTGACATCGTCTAAACTGCAGACATCTCCTCGGGACTAAGTGCGACAGAGGCCTCGCAACCCGTGTGGTTCTTTTCGCCATGTTCAATGACAAGGTCATGGGCTAAGACCTACTCCCGCGTTACGTAGCCTCGCCTTTGCTTCCCTGACCAAGCCCTTCGCCTCCTCAACCTCGTACCCGTCCTGGGTGAGCTCCGTGGCAAGCCGATTGGCCGTCATGAAGTCATGGCTTGCCATGGCATGCTTTGCCAGCCACATCCGCGCCCTGCTCGTCGAGGCAGTGACGCCCGTTCCCTCATGTCCGCCGTCTCCGCGGCCTTCTCCGTTGCCTTCGTCGTCAGAAGCGCCGGGAGAGTCGTTGTGAATAGCAATCGAATCACCCAGATTGTTCTCTGCAGCGACCTCACCACCCTCTTGCGCGAGACACAGCTCCATGTACGCTTTAGCCTCCTCGAGCTCGCCTAGCTGGTCATACATCATCGCAATCTGGTACAGCACCTCTGGGTCCAGTTGTCCCGTGGCACCCCGGCCGCTGAGTAAGTCTCCTCCACTGCCGAAGCTGCTTCCAACATCGTAGTAGGCATCCGCGAGCAGGGCTCTCTTCAGAGCCTTGATGCCGTCCTGGTCGCGTCCCATCTTTTGTAGACAAGAGCCGACCGCCATCCACATCTTGCCGTCCCAGGGCCTGAGTCCAGCCGCCTTTTTGTAGTACCACAGACTATAGGTGTGCATCTCGAGCATCTCGTATGTCTGCCCGAGGCCGTACCAAGCTCGGTAGTCCCGGCGGTTGACATCGACTGCGCGTCGGTATGATTCGATCGCTGCATGGGTGTTCTTCAGCTCCACATACTCATGGCCCATGAGCGTCCATGCAGACAGGCAAGTCCGGTCAAGTGTAAGGGCTCGACGGAAGTACTGTACTGCTTTCTCGTGCATTGAAAGCAGTGAGTAGTAGTTGCCCACTACTACACAGGACTCTGGGCGGAACTTGTCGATGCTGGAACACAAATGTGCAAGGAACGCAAGCTTCGGTCTCATGTTCATGACGTAGAGGATATTGGAATAGTGATCCAGCGAATCCAGCCTGTGAGGGTGTAGTGACAACAGTCGACTGAAGTGTTGCTCGGCTGCCACAAGATCTTTGGCGTGATATGAAAGGAGGGCATTGCATGTGAGTAGGAATGACGAGGTCGGGAAGATGTTCAGCAACTGATCCAGAGAGTTTGCGAGCTCAGGACTTTGCTGGTATAGCTCGAGGGATGTGTGGAGATGAAAAATAAAGGAGACGATGTTTTGAGGAAGATGAGCTGATATACGACTCAACTAGCACCAGTTAGCATGAAAGTTCAAGTTCAAGTGCACATCCGGGACCTACGTCGTCGAGCCGTGAAATCAGGGAGGTCATTTCGAGCCAGCAGCCCCAATTCATGGGATACAGATGGACACTGCGAATGAAGAAGTCCATGGCCTTATCCTCGTTCTTCTCCTTCGCAAGCACCATTCCATACCTACTCCAGTCAGTACTCGTCCGAACCATCAACGCGCTCACACTCACAGGTATTCCAGCCAGCCCTGGCTGCCAAGCACCTCTCCGTCATCCGTCGTCCTCTCGTCGAACCAATTGCTGAGAAACCGGCTGACAGCATTCAGCTGCTTGTTGACCACGTTGCCCAGATCCTGCGGTCCCATCACCATTTCGGAGTCTTCGTCCTTGCGTTTCTCCCCGGACATGACCTTTGCGTACAGGGCAAGGAACAAGCTCTTCTGGCTCAACCTCGGGACCTCGGTGCTGCTGAACGCCTTGTCTTCTCTTGTCTTTCCCTTTCCCTTCGGTGTCCCCTCAGCCTTGGCGTTCATCTTGCCCGAAAGCACAGCATCCGGAAGGAATACCGCGGCGCAGCGGTCAAACTCTCTCGAGTCGAACAGCGCCTTGGCCAGCAGGTATTTGTTAATCTCCCTGGCCTCAAGCAGAGCCTCCTCCGGGTCGGCGTTGGGCGTGAAGACGGTCGGGACATATTGCCCATCGGCATCGGCGACGTCGGCATCGGTCGAGGTCTCGGGTATGGAATTGAGGAGCTCTGCCGCCCTGGGAACAGGAGCAACGTTAGCTACAAGCTCTTGCAGGGGTCGCCTCGGACGGCAGCAGGGAGAGAGCTTGCCATTTCGCAGACGAATAGAGACACCGCTCGGAGCACTTCACAACGGCATCTTGGAGCGAAGCGCGGAGCTGCGACAGGTCATTCTCGTTGAGCGACATCTCTGGGCATCCTCGGCGGGGGGTCGCTGTTTCGTTCGTGTGTGTGTGTACAGCAGTGTCGCGCGCGATGGGCAAGGGTGAAGGCCTCAAAAAACGCGGCCAAAGATGCCCCAATTGGTCCCGTTATCCGATGTTGCGCTTACGTTTCTAGACACAGTCTCGGCCGCGCATACGAGGAGGAACCGGAGAGTTTCTTGCCGTCGAAGGGGGTTGCAGGACGCTGGAGCTGTCGAAATGTACGGGTTGTGTTTCTTTGACCTGACGTAGTAAGGCTTAACGGCAGAAAAGGCGTTATCCACTTGGCGATGGAAGTCAACATCCACAACGCGCTTGCTGGGCGCGACGACCTTCAGTTTAGCTTAGTGACACTGACCGCCTCTGCCCCTCCACTTCCAGGGAGCAACAGCCACTGAGCAAGGGACCTGATCAGGACGCCCTGGGCGCCTGTCATCCCGAGTGCCAGCCCCACCACGCCCGGGAACCGTCGCTTTCCATTCCCACTGCAACTTTGCCAGCCGCAGCGACTGCCTCACCGCACACCGGCCCAAAGTGCCCCTCCACCGCCTGCCTGAATTGAACAAAATGAAGATCGGATGAGGGGTCGCATCATTGGTGGTGGTGGTGCAAGCTGAGCCGTTGGTACCAATTCACTTGATTGCCCGCACTTTTACCACATGTAGGTACAACAATTTACACGCCCGGCGCATTAATTTGCGATCAACCGCCCCGCGCAAACAAAATCTCCCCCTGCCTACTTCACCCGCTCACCCTTACTTTTGCTTACGCCCCGGTCACCCATTGTAAGTCCTCCACGTCCCGCCAGGCACCAGGGCCCCCTTTTTTATTTTGCCTATCGGGAAGACAGAAAGTCTGCTTCGGCCTTGCACTTCTTAACCCAACCCATCCTCTGATACCTCGCGCGACCGTTGGAAAGCTGACCACGAAAACGCCTCAACAAGCCTCGTCCCGATCCATAGCTCCGCACCATTCCAGAAACCGTCAAGATGGCCAAGAAAACCACCCTCGCCGAGTTCGAATCCGTCTTCCCCAAGCTCGAGGAGGTACTCGTCGAGCATGCGCAAAAGTACAAGCTCCCCAAGGAGGAGCTGTTGTGGTACAAGAAGGCAAGCTGACACCACTACCACCAACACCACCACCGAGATCGGTGATGGCAGTTGAGACACTGCGCTTGTTTGAGAAAAGGAAAAAGAGATCATATCAATTGACAACTGACTCCGCCCCGGAGCTATACAGTCCCTCGAAGTCAACACCCTCGGCGGAAAATGCAACCGCGGCATGTCCGTTCCCGACTCCGTCTCCCTCCTGCTTGGCAAGCCTCTCTCTGAGGAAGAATACTTCCAGGCCGCAACCCTCGGCTGGATGACGGAGCTCCTCCAGGCCTTCTTCCTCGTCTCGGATGACATGATGGACGGCTCCATCACCCGCCGCGGCAAGCCCTGCTGGTACCGCCACGAGGGCGTCGGCAACATCGCCATCAACGACTCCTTCATGCTCGAGGCTGCGATCTACACCCTCCTCAAGCGCTTCTTCCGTGAGCACGCCTCCTACGTTGACCTCATCGAGCTCTTCCACGAGGTCACCTTCCAGACCGAGCTCGGCCAGCTCTGCGACCTCCTCACCGCCCCCGAGGAGCAGGTCAACCTCGACAACTTCTCCATGGAGAAGTACCGCTTCATCGTCATCTACAAGACCGCCTACTACTCCTTTTACCTCCCCGTCGCCCTCGCCCTCCACTGCCTCAACATCGCCACCCCCAAGAACCTCAAGCAGGCCGAGGACATCCTCATCCCCCTCGGCGAGTACTTCCAGATCCAGGACGACTACCTCGACAACTTTGGTCTGCCCGAGCACATTGGCAAGATCGGCACCGACATCCAGGACAACAAGTGCAGCTGGCTCGTCAACCAGGCCCTGCAGCTCGCTACCCCCGAGCAGCGCCAGATCCTCGAGGAGAACTACGGCCAGAAGGACAAGGAGAAGGAGGCCGTCATCAAGAAGCTCTACGACGACATGAAGCTCAAGGAGCGCTTCGAGGAGTTTGAGGAGAAGCGCGCCACCGAAATCAAGGACATGATCAACAACATTGACGAGAGTGAGGGCCTCAAGAAGGGCATCTTCGAGGCCTTCCTGGCCAAGATCTACAAGCGCAGCAAGTAAACTGCGCGCGCGCACACACGCGCGCATGCGACACGCTAGCGGAAAACAACGAATCGAACGAGTTGAAGAGAGATAAAAACACCTTAATGTGGCGCGGCATTGGCATTGAAGACAAAAGAAAGATACCTGAGTCCAATTGAACTGATGACGACGATAATAGACCGTTAGATTCATACATGGCCATATTAAGTAAACAAAGAAGATTTCCTGTCCAGATACATCACCGACTTGACATCTGTTCCCCTATTTTTGTGCTGTGTGACGCAAAAGTCAACAACCGGGTATCTTACAAGCTAAATCACCCATACGCCAAATCTTGCGTGCACGGCTTACTCAGGGCCCATTACTCGTCTCTTCCCCCGAGACCTTCTCTTCTGTGACCTCGCGGGCCATTATGCAGCTCTTGACCTTTTTTTTCCTTTTCTTTTCAACTTCGGGTTTTTTTCTTTCTCTTTGGCGTCATTCTCGGTTTGAGACAAGGTTGAGACAAGCCGTTGTGATCAAATGGCAACGGTCAATGTCTGACAGTGCCACTCCGACCAAGGCCCTGTGAGGCGCGGGGTCTCGCGTCGCGACCTCGCTCGCGCTCGACAAAATTGATCAGCGGCACGTCCTCGTCATTTTGTCGCGAAGTCCGTCTCGGCATCGACGGCATGGGTGGTTGCTCGTTAGACACGACTCGGCGGACGGGTGCGCCACCAGCCGTCGAGCGACTCCTCGGTCTTGAGGCCGCCGACTGCGAAGCCATGCGCTGAGGCGGGTACGCTTTGGTCGTCCCCATGCGAGTTACGGTTGGCAGTTGCGGTGCCATTGTGGTATCCGGCGAGTTTTCCCAGCCCGTAGCCATCTGAATCAAAGGCGTGCCTGTTGGCGCCTTGATTCCACGCCCGTGACCCTCTCGCCAAGCGGCAGGCAAGTCTGGGACCTTGGGCGTTAGGTCGACCAGAGGCTGAGGCATCCCTGGCTTCCTCTGGGACGGTCCGTCCGATGTTGTCGGGCGTGCTGACGTAGTTGGACGAGCGACGGGAGGGCGGGACCGGCTTCGGGGTTGGGCCATGGGTTCCACGGCCGACCGGGACGTGCGCACCGTACCTCTTCTCGCGGGCATCCCGCTCAGCTGCCCGGACGTCTGCATCTCAGGCTCTGGGTAGTTGGTGAGTAGTCCCCCAGTAAAAGGGCTGTCGGGCGAGAGATCTTCGTGAGCTGCAGCTGCCGCGTTCTTCTCAGCCTGCTGCTTTCGTCCTTCATACGCGCGCCCCAGCAAGCCACTGTTTCTGAATTCCTGGTCCCTGGCAAATGGATCAATATGCTTCCTCGGCATCGGAGAAGCAAGGTTGGGCGTAGTCCTTGAACGAGAGACGACCTTTTGCTGCTTCGGAACAGAGAGCTGCTCTGCCGGCCACATTGAGTGCTTCTCAGGCTCCCTGCCAATATCGTCGATGGACTTTTCGAGCTTTTCCATATCCAGGAGCGGAGAGAATGTTCCAATCGTGTATGGAGTCTCGTCTACCGATACTTTGAGTCGGTGCAGGGTCCCGCTTCTGGCGAGACCACTCGAGGGCTTCTCGTTCGGGCTGCGCGACGTCTTCTTTGGCTTGCTCAAATCAACCTTCTTGTTGACCAGATACCAACTGCGCCATGAGTGTAGGACTCTCTTAAAGTCCTCAGCGAGTCTAGCGTCATCGGTCGAGAAGAAGTGGATAAAGTTTTCGGTGTTTTGGAAAACGCTGGACTTTTGTTGACTCTTCACGGCAAATGTGTTCTTCTTGGGTGCTCTGATTTGCTTCAACATGTCCTTCTCTGTGACTGAGTAGAGGTCAAAATCCGAAAGATGACACAGTGAAAGCGAATCCTTGTCCGAGACCTTGGCATCCTTCTTCTTGGCGGAAAACACCTGCCCATCCTCTTTGAGAGTGATGTACCGTTTGTTCCATTTCCCGGGTCGCGAAGAGTGGTACATCAAAAAGTTGATCAGACCGGCCGGGGGGTCGATGGTGCGGGGCACGACCTCGACGTTCAGATCGGGGTTCTTGTCGACAGAGTCTCCAGGGATGATGAGAAGGCAATGCTGGCTGTCACGGTCCCAGGAATTCAAGACATCTCTCACCCTCTCATATCGCCTAAGCCGACGCTCCAGGCCAAAAGCAAAGTAGCACTCCATGACAATGCTGGTTTGCGGGTTGATGTTCTGGGTCATGAGGTTGGCGGCCGAATATAAGATTTCCATGGGAGTCGTCTCGGGGGTGACGGGCAGGCTGATGGACGACTGCATGCATCGAATTGTCACTCGCTGGGCGAGGTGTTAGCAGAGGCGCATGGGACAGTACGAACGACTCGTTCAACTCACACGTTCGCCAGCATTGCTGGCTGTGATGGGGGCATCGGTCTGGGGGACGATGCCGCCTCCGCCGGCCTGAATGAAGCGTGTGGGATCCATGACGCTGACTGGCCGGCAATCGAGCGAAAGTGGCTGAAAGTATGTGGGAGGGGACTTTGTGAGCGTAGCAGAGTCGGACTTGCGACTTTTTCTAAGAAAGAAGGCGAACTTGTTGACGATGGGGGATCGTCGGGGCGGGGGGTCGGGAACAGCGGCTAATTGAGCCTGAAGTCTTGCAAGATCCTTCCTCTTCTGTTCTGCCAAGATGCGATCAGTCTCTGCTTCGAGACGGGCGACTTCTTCGGCCCAGCGGGTGGCCTCCTCCTGTTCCTGGTCCTTGCGCCGGCGATCGTCTTCCTCCTCCTGTTCAATCTGCTGTTGGAGCTGATGTTGCTGCTGGCGGTGCTTCTCCCACTCTGCGTCTCTGAGCTGTTCTCTGCTGGGTACGGGGTGGAGGTTGAGTTTGGTGATGATTTGGGAGCGGGCGTGGTCAGCTCGTGCAGAGAGCTTGAGGTCGGCGCATGACGAGGAGTTGGAAACGAGGATCGGGTTGTGCGAGCGAGGCCTCAGCTGGGGTAAAGGAGGCGGCAGAGAGTCGCGTGCTACCCTTGCGGCTAACGGAAGAGGAGGCGGCAGGAAATTCGGAGGAGGAGGAGGAGGTGGTACATTCGGCGGTGGTGCAGTTGGTGGTGGTGGTGGTGGTGCTGCTGCTGCTGCTGCTGATCCTGCAGGCGATGGTCCTTCTCCTAAAGGCAAAGCAGCACCAGGTACCTGGCCGAGAGCGAATGCTTGGAGAAGGGGTGGTAGTGCCGCTGCCGCATCAGCAGCTGACGCTGGCAATAATAACGCTGATCCTGCAGATGGGGCAGGCGGACGCTGGGCACTCGTCTGAATGGCCTGGTGGGTGCAGGAAACCCCTGGGGCTGGGGTCCTGGACCCGGAACTGGAGCGCGCTAAGGAAAATAAAGAACCCGGTTCGCTTGGGGTGCTGGGCGAACCCCCCTGCAAGGGGCTCTCGGCCGCATTGGGGGCTGTTTTTGGCCGCCGTCTGTTGGGGTAGCTGAACCGCACAGGAGACTCGGGACACGGCGGCGCTGTGACGCTTGCTTCTGCTGCTTCCGTGCTAGAAGAATACGGGTGGTAATCGTTCAGGTTAGACCTCGAAGCATAGTAGCAGCTGGCGGTGCCGCGTCCGAGAAAGGAGGGGGATGCCTCGTCGTCGTAGTCGTCGTCTTCAAATGCACCAAAACCAACACCAACACCAACATCGGGCCACTGCCAATGCGACTGTGGGCGCGACAACTGCAGCGGGGTCTGCGGCGGTGGTTGGAGCGTGAGTGCCGGTGCCGTCCGCCGTCTTGCCGCGGAAGAGGGCGTCGTCTGGCCGCGCTGCTGCTGCTGCTGCTGCTGCTGCGTATTCCTGGCTGGTGTTTGTGCCGCTGCCGTCGCCAGTTGCTGCTGTTCTGTCGTCTGCTGCTCGTCATCGACGGCGATCCCGATGCAAATGCTAATGCTTGTCGCGGTGCCCGTTTCCGTCGTGGCACTCGACACAGTGTCGTCATCCTGAAAAATGTCCACGTCCCAGTCCCTCCAGTCTCGGCCAAAGTCCAGCACGCTCTTGTGCTCCCGCAGGTTCCTGTACCGGGTCAGCCGTCCGGCGGTAACGCTGTGTCCCCGTCGTGGTGGATGCGGAGCTGGCGATTTGGGTGGTCCTGGCCCTGCCGACATGGTCCGACTAATACGCGGATGCAGCCCGCCTCCAGCAGCTTCCATTGCGCTAATTATTTATTAATACCTTTCTGTATTCGTAAGGATTTGTTTCTCGGTCGGAGAGGAGACCAAAGGACTCGAATGCCTCCCTGAGCAATCAAACGACGATGCCGACCCGACCCCTTATTCTCCCGTCTGTCTGAAGAGATCGATCCGATAGACGATAGGGCTACTCTGCCAATCCCCCGGATTTTCTCGTCCGATATGGATGGCGTCGATGGCAGCGGTAGGAAGGTTGCGGATAGCGCAAGCGGCAGCGGCCCAGTCCGCTGGGACCTCGGAGCCGGAGCTGGAGATGATCTCCCCAGCCCAGCAGGGAACTGCTGAACGTTATCTTGCGTCCGGATGCAGTCCTCCCCCAGGACCCTGCAGATCATGCAAGTGATTGATAACGATCCAGCAGATTGAGATGACCCTAATTTTCTTTCTTTTCTCTTTTCCTTTGTGCAGTCCCTTCTTCGGGTATTCGGTCAGACACTCTGACGCCGTCCGGTATCGATTAAGCGTAATTGCCAATTGGTGTAACCAAGGAAAAACGAAGCAAGGAGATAATTAAACGTCGTCGTAGTTGTCGCTGCTCTCGCTGCCGCCCACCGGCAATAATTGACACAGCGCAGGGGTGAAAATTACCTGTAAACTCGGGTCTGAGAAGGAAGCAAAAGAAAGAATAAAATTTACCAAAGGGAAAAAGGAAAGTGGCGAGACCTTCCTTCCCATAAGTCGGGTCCGTCAGGAACGGGGTACCAAGGGAGGCTTTTTTACGACTCTTGCAATTAAAACTCCACCTCCTGCCGATAGACATGGAGAGACACTCAAGAGACATTTGAGAAAAAAGGGCCACCTCTTCACAAGACGCGTCCACCGGCACGCAGCACAATGAGGTGCAACTGCGCCCCGTGAGCCAGATGCCAATCGCTCATGTCCAATTTGCCTGGTCTATTGTGTCATCACACTTCTCTCCACGATGCATTCCAAGTCCAGCCCTGAACGCCGTCTTGGATGTGCCGTGTTTACACTTCCGCGAACAGGCGACGCGCTCGTGCAGAGACCACTGTATGCATTTCAGTGTCAGAGACGGATTCGTATTGTGGAATGAACCTGTTCCTGAGCCCCATCTGAGCGTCCCTGTCTCTGTCCCTTCTTTCCCCCCCCCCCCCCCCTGATGCTTTGACGAAGCATCCTGACTTGCGGACCGATTTTCTAGCTCAACAACAGCCATCGCCATCACGTGCTGCCCAATGCGTCTTACGCTACCATTTCAGCGCCAAGAGTGGCAGAGGAACTTCATCCCAACCTGTGAGCAGAGTGGCATCTTCTACACAGCTCCGTCGCTCATCTGCCGGCCCATAGCTTCCCATCTGTCGAAGTTCGCCGATGCAGTTCGTGCAAGGGGCTGATCCAGACTAATGTCGGAAAGCGTGCACCTCGCGTCTCCACCATCCAATAAAGTCGCTTGTCGATACGTCGATGCCTAGGTTCTTGAGCGCTTTGGTGCTAAGGTGGCAGTCGTACGGACGCTGCACGCTAGCATTGGGGTCGTTGCCCTCCGTGTTCGCAATGATGCCGTCCATCGACAAGTCCATGATCTCGGCAAACGTCTGGCAGATCTCGTACTTGGTCATTCTGTCCTCACTGGAGAACTGGAGGATCTTGGGGAACGAGCTACGGTCGTCGGCCTCGATGTACTTGACAGCAATATCTGATCCACCGTCAACTCTGCGTCTGGGACTATGAGAGAGTGCGATTACCATGGCACACGCGACCAACATCTTCAGTGTTGGTGGGGTATCGGATGGCCCAGTGGTCCATCTTCACCTTTGACTGCCCGTCCTGCGTCTTCCACAGAGTGTCCAAGAGGATGTTGGTGGCACTCTCGGCAGGCGTTTCTGCCTGACCGTACAGGACCGGTACGCGCAGGACGACACCGAGACCTTCGCGGCCGGCCTGCTTGTACTCCTCTAGCATAGCATGCTCTCCATCCAGCTTAGTCTGGCCGTACAAGTTCGTAGGGCCAGTCTGGGCGTCATTCTCGTAGGGGGCCTCTCCAGGCTTTCCAGAGAAGACGTAGTCGGTGGAAATGTAGATGAGGAAGATGCCCCGAGCAGCACAAAGGCTGGCGAGTGACTTGGTGGCGGCAACGTTGAGTGCTCTGGCGGCGTCGGGGTCGCTGTCCACCTTGTCGGGATATCGCTGAGCCGCACCTATTTTGAACGATTGATGAGCGATTCGATGCACATGAAGCAAGTTTAGACATGGGTTGACACACAGTGCACAACTACCCGAGGCCTGAGAGAGGCATTAGCTCTGGCTGCCCAGAAGTCGAGAACGCAGGCCAACCTACTTGGACTCCTCGAGAAACTTTTCAACTCCGACAGGGCTTCCCAGATCGACCTTGAACACCGACACGTTGTCTGCGCGAGAGTATCCCGTGCCCTTGACATTCCAGCTTTTGCGGTCGAAAGCTCTAGCGACCTGGCGTCCCAGGAGGCCGGTCGCGCCAGTCACAACAACGTCCTTTCCGGCCATTTCGTGTATCAAGGCTCCGATCAGAGTCTCAAAAAAAGTCAAAATAACAAACTCGAGTTAAGTTGAAAAGGAATTGTTAACGCTTCTCTTGTCACGTTATGCTCTGGCTCTGGCGATGCTAGAAAGCTCTAGCTGCCCCTCAGCTACCCCGCGGTGGGGGGGTTTCCTTCACCTGCGACAACTCAATTGGACGGTGTGCCGGATAATTACATCATCTTCACACAATGCATAGAGACAGCGTAAACTGTGACCTCCCTGTTTCTCTCGAAACCAGGACCCCGAAGCCTCACAGGTCAACGCTGCAATATGTTCAGAAGAACTGGTTGACGACGTATCCACGGGTCCTTCCGAAGGCTTCGGCGCCGCAACAGCCCGGGCTCACCTGGCAGGAAAACTAGACCAGAAGCAACGCTCAAGCTGCCCCGAAGTTGGCAGCATGCCTAAGGGCATGTTGCGGAACTCAAGGGCAGAACGTCGATCCACTGGAATCGAGCCAATTCGACGCCGGCTCACCATGTACCAGAAGCGAAATCTTCAGCGAGCAAGAGAGCACAGCACTCGTTGACTCGCAAACCGCTGGTTTTGCCCAGACCCTTGGCTTTTCAGGAATGAAATTGTCGAAAATTCTCGAGCAAAAACCTCCCGAGTCATGGACGACCCTCAACGACGCTGGACCGCCATGCTTGGGCCGCGCGCCTTTTATCATGGCTTTGACAAGACATCAGCCAATGCTACACGCTGCCCACCTTCCCGCCAGACGGAGCAGTCGAGCTTACGGGCCTCGAGCGCTGCGTAAGCAACATCTCGCCTCACGAGACGTCAGCAGCATGGTGATCATACCCAGACAGCGGCAAACCCTTTTGACATGTTCATAACCACGGCATTTATTATATAGCCCGGGCACCCAGATAACACCAGATCGTCCGCCAGAGCACCTCGACGTTGCAGCACCCGATTCTCGCGCCATCGTGCCCCAGACTAGCCCTTCCCACCGGCGCGTCTCAAGACATGGACAGGGAGAGCTGCCCTAGCAAGCAGACCGATTAACAAGATTGTCGTCTCCTCGAGCAAAGCTTGCGCGGCGGAACTCGTCGCTAGCAACTGGACGAGACCCTCCGGAAGACCTGAAGCAAAGGGCTCACTGCCGAACTTTCGATGGAAGTCATCGGGAGCAGCAGCCGCCGGCACGCTCGACGGCGCAAGTAATTCCCCGACCCAATCTCCCCTCCGACGTGAGTTCTGATGAAGCCAAATTACACCGAGGAAAAGCTCTGCAACCGCATCTCGATCTTCCGTCCGGTGCCGTGCCATGACCCGGACGGCATGCGCAATAACGAGACAGCATTCTTCCCATCTCCTTCATCCACCGGCACGGCGTTCTCCGCCAAGAGACGGGATCGCGTGTGTCCACCGTTGGCAAATTATCTTGCATCAACGGCCCGGTTCTCCAATGTCCATCTCCCGCTTTGAATTCAAAACCCAAATCAAACCGTGTTCTTTGCGTATCCTGTGGAAACATTCCGCCCGGTATTCTCTCTTCTTCACCGATGCCGGCTCTCTCACTCCATCACATCTTGCACAGACAATGCTGCACTCGCCCCGTTGCATTTTATTTTTGTGCCCCCTTCCAGAACAACCGCAGCCCACTGTGGCGCACCCGCGCTTGGCCCTGCCTTGGACGCTAGAAAGAAACAGCATCCAAGCCCACCAACCCCCGGCGAGGTTTCGAGAACGCGTACAGGCCATGTCGCAAGGCCGGAAAGAATAAAAGCGGGTGTGATCTAAATCGCTCCCGATGATGCGGTGGGGAAGTAAGTATCAAGTATATTGCCTATTCCTGTGCTTGGGTGCCATTGGGCCCCGTCCCCTCGAGCGAGCGTCTTTTCTTAGCGGCAATGGTCTATAACACGGCGTTATATGCATGGGAATCCCTTCCCCGCGGCTCCTGACCGACTTCCACGTCCAGCGTAACCGCAGCATCACCAAGAAGAGGCAGAGAGCGGCAAGAGGGGAAAAATCGATTTTGTTTTCGCAGTGTGTGTGCGCGTGAGGTATCTTTAATCTATATTGTACTACAATGCAATCGTCATCATGGCGGCAAAAAACGAGCGAATCAAGGAAAAGGGGGAGAAACCCGCTCCCATCCTCCCCCGGGCCTCTCTCAGAAACTCTCTGAGCTGTTGGTCGAGTACAGCTTGGTATCGTAATGACTCCTCCCGGGGCCCCTATCCATCGGTGGTGGCGGCGCCCTGCCCCCGGCTGGCGGCGGCCTCGGCGTGGAGTCCCTCTTGTCGTCGTACACAATGTTCACCTCGGTCGTGCGCATGATGCCGTCGTACGTCATGATCTCCTCCTCGCTCGTTGTCGGCGAGTGGCCCCTGATCTCGGAGCGGCCCTTCATGTTCTTGAGCTGGAAGGCGTTGTCGCGGTTCGTCGTCCCGCTGCGGCCGCGCGTGTTGGTGGTCACCGTCGCCGTGGTCCGCGACTTCTTGGTAGGGTCGCCGGAGCGGCCGTAGCCGTAGCGGCCGTTGGAGGAGGACTTGAGCGAGGCGAAGAACTTGGGGAACCAGCGGAGGAAGAGGCCGCGGAGAGCCGGGGCCGAGGCGGTGATGATTGCGAGGTTCGTCTCGACGGCGGAGTAGGTGAAGCGGATGTCGTAGGTCGGGTCGGTGGTGTTGATGTGGTAGCCGACTTCGACGAGCCAGAGGAGGCGGAGGATGCTGATTGCGGTGACGCTGGAGGAAGCCTGTGTAAGCCGAGGTACTTGGGAGGAGGTTGCGGGAAACTTACATTCCTCCCAGGGCAAAGACGGCAAGTAGAGCCATCTTGACCCTCGTGGGCATCTTGAGTCCTAGAAAGATCCAGAACGGCATCGCCAGGGCCAGCACGTCGGTGAGGATGGTCAGGGACGCGGTGCTGACGTAGAAGGCGTTCATGTCGATGCACTTCCCCTCCGTGGGCGGGTTCCGGCCCGCCTTCTCCCAGAAGTAGTTGATGGGTTGGCATTGGAAGATGACGGTGACGAAGATGGCGACCATCAGAGTCAGGTTGAAGACGTTGAGGCCGATGAGGGCGAAGCGGATGCGCCGCTTCTGCCCGCTCAGGCGGAGGAGGAACATGAGGACCGACGTCTTGACGAGGGCGAGGATCGGGTTGTAGAGGAGCTGGATGATGTAGTTCCACAAACTGCCGAGGCGGTTGTCTGCAACCAGAGGGATGTCGTAGACGTGGATGCCGATGAAGCCATACCGCATGCCCATGTAGGATGCTCCCGTCTCGGCGATGGACTCCGCCTGTGCTGATGTTAGTGCATCCAAGGAAAAGTGCGTGTTGGAACCTACCATCGCAAAACATATCAAGCCATCATCTAAAAGCTACAGTTAGTCACAGAGCCCAGATCTCGCGGACTTCAGCTAGACAAGCCAGTTTTGACGACCAACTTACCCCATCCGAACTGCTTTGTGCTGACTCGACTATACACCCTCAATCCCACCACAATAAGCGCCAAAGCCGGAAAGAAGAAGAGAATAAAGAAGCCAATCTGTTGGAGCCCCGTCTCCGGGTACGGGTAGTCGTTGCTGACGGGCGGTAACGTCGAAGATATCGTGGCAGGCGAGGCTGCTGTCGTCGTCGTCGTTGTGTCCCGGGCCTCCTGCGCCGCGTAGACTAGAGCCGCGATGGCCTGCGACATGGCCGGCTGTGATTGTCCTCTTTGCTTCCTTCGATATCCCGCGCGAGTTTACAAGCTCAAAGGAGCCTTGGCTGGCTGATATGGATCAGATTCGTAACACAGTGCCGCGGAAATCGGTTCAAGAAAGGTTCGAGAGGGGCGAGGGTTCTATATGTCATAACACCTGGCTTGAAGACCTCGGAACCACAAAGTAAGGCAAGGCGTTTTGTTTCTTTGCTTTGCTCGCCCTGGAACACATAGATTACTTTGGCCACACTACGCGCCTACAACACCTACCAGGCTCCTCCTTCGCAAGAGACACACATATTAGGCCCTAGTGCGAGCTGAAAGGGTCTACCTTTCCTTCTTTCTTCCCTTCCCACTTCTGCAGCGACAGGGTCGGTAAAGCATGAGCCAAACGGAACGGCGGCAGACCTTGACCTCTCGGTGACCTCTGCCTGGGAAGTCCAGCCCCAAGTGGCGCCGGATTTCTTCCAAAACAGCTTCTGTACCACTCGTGTGGGTGGGTGTGGCCATGCAAGTACGGGAGACCCCTTGAAGAGAGAGGAAGGACGAGAGAGAGATCACTTGGGCCTGCGGACGGTGGTAACCCTAACTGCAGACGGCCCATCCACGCACCCCTTGTTTATATCAAGACAAGGATATACGTTCGCCGCAGAGGGAGCCGAGGGCGGATGAAGGCGAGTGGCTCAGAGAAGGAGAAGACACCAGAGATTGGAACAGACGGTCCAGCCCTGTGTGGATGGTAGTATGAGGACCGGAAGTTTGGAATTGGTACCTCCCACACCATCCCACCCGTCGATCTGTCTTGGGGCCGTGCCATGGAAGACGCCCAGAAAGATGCTACCTACCTTGCTTCTCCCGTGACAGCACTTGCGACCGTTGAGACTTTCGTGGCGTACCAGCTACAGCCGAGGGGAACACCCGCTGCCATCCCGCGTGAAGAGTTCCAAGTGCAATCTAGTTGACAGCTGCCAACGGCGTGGAAATGGGCTCATGTCTGAGAGTCTCCATCGGGTTGCTAACAACTCAGGTTGCTGAAGATGGGGGGTGCGCGAAGACGAGTGCGTCCTCTTCTTCGCGGACCCATTAATCGGTTATCAAAAAGGAAAGGAAGCCGAAGAAGCATCTGCTCTCTCCACGGCTGCCTGGCCTGGAACTCACTTGAGCATGGAAGAAATTAAAGTGAATGGGTTCTGCAGGCGGGTTGTTGCAGCTGCGACCTGTAGGATGTTGGCCTGCAGAGCGGGGGACCGAAGTACGTATTTCGATCGCGGGCTGCATCTCGCCCCAGTGGGCATGTGGAGCTTCCTTAGGTCTCTCTGTGTCTGTCTCTGTGTTTGTCTCCCTGCCTTGGATGGGATATCGAACGATTCCCCATGTCGGCGGTCCAGTTGGTTCGTGGGGCCGAAGAGGAACAAAAAAAAAGGCGCGGGATAGTGGATCAGTTGGCTGGGAGGTTGCTGGTCCTTGGATGAATCGCGAAGGCGCTCGTATTGGTTTCGTACTGGCTGGGTGAGGAGGGCGCAACTCCAACGACGTCGATGTTGTTCAGGCGGGATCCCGGGATGCAGGTACGCCATCACACACCGGGGTTCCGCAGGAGCGTTCGGACCAGGTGAAACCCCTCCCACACCAAAGGGCTTTTTGCTTGTGTGGCTGCTTCAGATGGCGGAGAGGCAGTGAAGGAGAAAGATTGAGGATGGGCATTGTGTGACTTTCCCGTGTTTGACACCGATGCACTGCATCGGGATAGGGGGTTTGCCCATACCTGGCTTCACCTGACCGAGGAGAAGTTGGTGATGGTCGGGTGTTGCGGGCGGACTTCCTGGATCCAACAAGTATCGGCCGTCTTGCGCCGGGAAATTTGCTGGCAGTTACATGCATGTGAGAGCTGCTGCGCCGCTGAAGACGTGCGAAAGCCGAGAGACAACGCGTTGGCGTGAAGAAATGAGCACTGCATGACAGCCGGGGAATTAGCGAGTGCCGTGCTGTCAGGCGCAACGTAGGTGTGGTTGTTGGTTGATTGTTAGATGCACTCAGTCGGCCAAATCGATGAGAAATCGACGTGTCATTCACAGCAGAACTTGTCGACATCTTGGAATGCGCTCCTAAAACTCGACGTTCTTAGTCTCTAGAGTCGTAGGTCGAAACCGAACTCTAACCTAACTAGATAGGTAGGTGATAAGATAGCATCAAGAACTGGCCTCTGTGCTGCCGCTTGTTGGTGATCACTTGCGGGAAGCGGTGCGGCATCCGATGCTCCGGCAGGAGTTGCGAGTCCACCGGGGTAGAAATTGCATGGGAACTTCATATATTTTCGCGCCGGGTGTGGACAACCCCTGTCCCGCGCAGAGCATGTCTCCTCTCGTGCCGAGCAACCATCCCCGAATGGCAAAAGCGCAGATTTCTATCAGGGTAAATCTCGCGCGGCAGACACGAAGGCGAAGAGGCGAGACGGGTTTCGGCCCTGGGTATGATGCTCCCCAGCTGAAGCCAAAAGGCTTCGGAATGTCTTGAGAAGAACTCGCTCCGAGCCCCGAGAGTTGAGATGAACGCCGCGCAATCGCCCGACAAAGTTCGTTCAGTGCTCGTCAGTTGCAACAGGCTTAAGCTTGATTGTGAGTCGGTAAATAGATGACGGATGGTTCCTGGATTTAAACAAGCCGACAAAACGAAACGGCCGGTGTGCGTTCGCAACATGGAGCCTCCCTTCTGCAAAGACGGTTCCAACCCCTCCTTGGGACGTCTCTGAATCGCTAGCGAAATCCTCGCCTGGAACCAGGAGTGACTGTGCCTTGATCAAAAAGTGCCTCATTCTTCAGTCTCTCTGCAGGTCGCCTCGAGCGAAGGATTGAGGTGTCCAGCGAGACCTTGCTTGCGAACAACCCGAATCTGGCAAGTCGCCGGGATACCGTGGACAGGAGAAACCCACGGCAATCTTTTATACTTGCGCATCTCCCATCGCATCCAACCGCGCACTAAACGCTGGCCCGACTCAAGGTAGTGTTGGCCGTGTGGATCAAGCGGCGAATGGCAAAACCGCCAAGTGGACCTCGTGGAGAAGGATAAGAAGAAAAGACGTGAGTTGAAGAAGCCGGAAGAGAAAGAAACCGGACTGGACTCTTGACTTGACTCAGTCGGCCGGGCTTGACGTACTGTGCAGTGAGAATGGTTCGTCCAAACGTGAGCTGATGTATCTGCTTGCACCTGCTGAGAAGAGGAAATCAACTGGCAGCAGGGCAACTTTCCCCAAGGCAGACCTACCTCCGCGGGATGTTGATGCGCAGATACTGCAGTTGGTCGAAAGACCGTCTAGCCGACTTGACCGGGCATCTTGCGCCGGTCAGGTCGGCATACCTCCACAACCCAACGTTGACCAGGACCGAGATGACAACAACATGCATGGCAAGGGTCGGGGCTACTGTGCCTGGGCGAAGTGTGCGGGGGCCGCCATCTCGGCCAAGGAGCCAGTGCTCCAGACTCCGATTTTCAACGTCCAGCCACTCAACGGCCGCCAATCTGTACCAGATCCTTAAAATCCTTGACCAGGCCGAGTCCAAGTGGAGATGAAGCTGCACATCGAGGTGGACGACGAGGGTTGAATCACTGTAGCATTCTGCCTTCCTTCTCCGAGCCGTGTTGGTGTAAGACTTTTTGCCGTTCCTCGGCGCCGTATCACTCGGCTCGTCGCCGCTTCCTTGCCTCTCACCCAACTCCATTCAGGCTGGCATTGTTCATCTCCCTCAAGGGGTCCTACGCAGGAAATTCTCTGGCTGCTGTAATCAAAGGAGGACTGTGACCCAGCGAATGATGCCTGCTGTGCATCCGCTGTCCGCTGCGCCCGTCCAGGACCTTGCCCGTCGATAGTCGCTCCTTTTCGTATCTTCGCCCCCAACTTTGCCTGCTGCGAGTGGAATAGTCCTAGAAGAGCCCTGCAAATATTGTATCTTGGCCGTGTATGCGTTGTCCTGCGTCAATTTGTATACGGACAAGCGTACAACCAAAGACTATTGACATTCAGCCTCCACATAGAACAATTCCGTTTGCCGGCCGCATCATTCGATCTCGTTGGTGGCGTTGCGAAGCCATTTCCGTTGTTGGTCTTGCCGTGTCCACCGACTCGGGCTCTGTTCCAACCGTCCAGTCCAGCGTTCCATTGCTCATCTCGGTCTCCACGCGTTCACCCCGCTGCCACCGTTGTCGACCACGGAGTTTTGATATATTTGATGCGCCTCTTCCCGTCTGGGTGGTCATCTCTTACACACCTATTCGTCCGTTAGCAGCCCTTCGCGTCTGAATCCACGTGGTAATCATGTATTCGACGCGCTCTGTTTGGACGGCGGCTCTGCTGTCTGTCAGTCAACTGGTCTCGGCCCAGACGATCAAGGTCGATGGCCAAGAAATTGGTGAGCACTTCTGGGTGTGTGTTGTTTCGACCAGGACTCTCTCCAACTGACGATCTCTCAGCTGCCGATAACTCCACCGTCGCTCCGGCTGCGGAGGTTGCTAATGTCGCCGTCGCAAGCACATCTGCTGGTCTCAACGACCAAGAGAAGGTTCAGCTGACCGATGCTGTACTCGCCAACCTGACGACCCTCGAGTTGTCCAACATCTCCCTTTTTGGCTTCGATGATGCCACCTCGGTCAACAAGAGATCTCTCTTCGGCCGATGCAAGACCTACCCAGGAGACATCCTGTACCCCAGCAGTCTGATATGGGGTGTCTTCGACCTCCTTCTCGGTGGTGCTCTCACCAAGACCATACCCGAAGCCTCTGTGTGCTATGACGACTTTGGCAACTACGATGAGGCAAAATGCGCTTTCTTAACCACAAACTGGGTCAATGGCTCGTATTACCACACCGAAGATCCCACTGCCATCAATGCTGTCCTCTTCGAAGGATTGAACTGCATGCCTCCGACCCTCAACGTCGGCGAGACTAGCTGCAAGGTTGGCGGTCTGCCTTCGTATGTTGTCGAGGCGACCACCGTGGCTCACGTTCAACTGGCCATCAACTTCGCCCGCAACCTCAACCTCCGCCTTGTCGTCAAGAACACCGGACATGACTTCGGTGCCAAGTCCACCGGTGCTGGCTCGCTGTCCATCTGGACCCACAACTTCAACGAGATCAAGTTCTTCGAGAGCTACAAGCAGGACTCCTACAGTGGCCCTGCCTTTAAGCTCGGTGCAGGTGTTCGGGCTTTCGAGGTCTATGAGGCAGCAAACAAGAACGGCGTCACTGCCATCGGTGGCGAAGGTCAGACCGTTGGTGTCATGGGTGGCTACGTCCAGGGAGGTGGCCACAGTCCTTTGTCCGGCCTGTACGGCATGGCTGCCGATAATGTTCTTTCTTTTGAAGTCGTCACTGCCGATGGCCGTTTCGTGACTGCCAGCGAGTCCGAGAACACGGACCTCTTCTGGGCCATCCGCGGTGGTGGTGGCTCAACGTACGGTGTCGTGACATCTGCCGTCGTTAAGGCTTACCCCAAGATGAAGGTCAGCACCGCCACCTTTGCCTTCTCGACCGGCGACAATGTGACCACCGACCAGTTCTGGACCGCACTGCGCCTCTACTTCGATGGCTTCATCGAGTATGCCGTCGACAATGCCAACTACGGATACTTCCGTATCCAGAACCTCGGCACCTCTTTCGCCTTCGACATGGGCCCTTGGTGGGCGCCCAACATGACAGAGGCGGAGCTCCGCAACTTGACGGCGCCTCTTCTCGCAAAGTGGGCTGAGATTGGCCTCAACGTCGAGCCCGTCTATACAGAGTACGAAAACTTTTATGATGCCTGGTCTGTCTCATTCCCTCTCGAGCCCTGGGGATCCAACGCGATTCGCCAAGCCAGTCGTCTCTTTCCCAAGGCCAATTGGGAGGACGAGACCAAGCTGAACGCCACCTTCGACGCCATCAAGTCCGTTGTCGAGGACGGTGGCTACATCGTCGCCTTCAACATCTTTGCCGCACCTGAGGGATACCCCGACAACGCCGTCAACTCTGCTTGGCGCGAGACTGTGATGCACTGCATCACGGCCGCCCTTTGGGATCCCACGGCCGACGAGTCTGTCATCAAGAACGCCAGTGACACCCTCACTTTCGACTGGATGCAACGTTTCCGCGACGTTTCGCCCGGCGCCGGCGCATACATGTCTGAGTCGGACTACATTGAGCCTGACTTCACCCAGGCCTTCTGGGGTACCAAGTACGACAAGGCTCTCGAGCTCAAGAAGAGGTTCGATCCCAACGACGTTTTCTACGCTCAGAATGGCGTCGGATCCGAAAACTGGGAGATGTCGGAGATGATTATGGGCAACTTGCCCTCCCAGAACAGCAAGTTGTGCCGCAAAGAGTAGTTGATTGACGTGTAGGATTTTGTATCATTTTGAGGGCATTGTCTCCTCATTTCTCTGTAAATATTATCGCTGTATATAACAAGGCCAATTCGCGCCACTTGCAGCCTAAACCAACATTAGTAGATGATCTCAACGCCCGAGAATAGCAAAGTTTAAACCATGTAGACATCAAGATATCGATATTCAAACCTCTGGATGATGGATATGCGGCTTTTGTTGACGGTTTCAGAGTTGTTCTTCTCGTTTATTCTGTGGCTATACTCTCCTTACCGCCGTCATCGTCTCTTTGTTGTAATCTTTGCTGTTATCACTGTGTATCGTCGTCCTCTTCATTAGAGCCACAAAGTACACAGAAAAGTAGTCGCCCAGACACAGGAAAATGAGGCGGTCTCTTCCGATTCCCCTGCAACATACGGCGACGTTGTACTTCGTATGCCCAAGTTGGATGAAGCTTGGCAGGAAGGTGCTGGCTCAGTGGCGGAGACGTACCTGACTGCGCGCCCCACTTCAATTTCACGCTAAACCGTACCCGGACAGGCGCATAACCTGCCTCTGAATTTCAAGGTGACATCTCCCCCAAACTCTTCAACCATAGCTTCACGAACCAGCCGTCGTCCATCATGGCTTCCATCGCCGCATCTCTGGCCGCGGCCCTCCCGAAACCCAAGTACACCGGCGAAGATGAAGAGGTTCCAGCACGCGCTCAGCAACGCGGCCCGCGTATCATAGGCGCCGGTCAGCTCGACGAGACCCAGATTGTGCTGAAGAGATCCGGTCCTCCACCGTACGGACAACGCGCAGGATGGCGCCCTCGAGGCCCCGAAGACTTTGGCGATGGTGGCGCGTTCCCCGAGATTCCGGTTGCACAGTACCCGCAAGATATGGGAAAGAAGGGAGCGTCAGCAAGTAACGCGCTCGCGATTCAGGTCGACGCCGAGGGAAAGCTCGACTACGGCGCCATCGCGCGTCAGGGCCACAGCGAGGACAGAATTGTGCACACCTCATTTAAGGACCTTATTCCCCTCCGCCAACGCGCCGACGCGGGCGAAATCGATCTCAGCCGACCGAGCGAAGAAGAAGTTGCTGCGACTGCGGAAAAAACCAAGAATGCACTGGCAGCGTTGGTCAGCGGCGCGGTGGCGGCGCAGAAGCCCAAGAACGTTAATGTTGGAAATTGCAAGGACCCGACGTTCGTGCGATACACGCCGGCAAATCAGATGGGCGACAACTCCAAGAAGCAAGATCGCATCATGAAGATCGTGGAGAGGCAGCGGGACCCGATGGAGCCTCCGAAGTTCAAGCACAAGAAGATCCCCCGCGGACCACCGAGCCCTCCTCCTCCAGTCCTGAGATCACCGCCACGAAAGCTGACGGCCAAGGACCAGGAGGACTGGCGTATACCCCCGCCAGTGTCGAACTGGAAGAACCCCAAGGGTTTCACAGTGCCCCTGGACAAGAGATTGGCAGCCGACGGCCGAGGTCTCCAGGATGTGGCAATCAACGACAAGTTTGCGCAGTTCTCTGAAGCGCTGTACGTTGCCGACAGACACGCTCGCGAAGAAGTCAGACAGCGCGCGGCCATGCAGCAGAGACTTGCGGAGAAGGAGAAGGCGCAAAAGGAGGAGAACCTGAGGATGCTGGCGCAGAAGGCTCGCGAAGAGCGCGCTGGTGCCGGTCGACGCGACTCAAGGTCAAGGTCACGGTCGCGCAGCTACAGCGGCTCTGACTCGGAAGACTCTGACGGCTCAGAGGATTCTGAAGTGCGGGAGAGAGAGAGGGCCAGAAAGGAAAGGATGCGCGAGGAGGAAAGGAAGCTACGTCAGTCACGGATGGGAGCCGAGAGGAGGGTCCAAGTCATGGCCAGGGAGCAAAACCGGGACATCTCTGAAAAGATTGCGCTCGGCCTTGCGAAACCCACTCAGTCCAAGGAGACGATGTACGATTCAAGACTCTTCAACCAGACCAGCGGCTTTGACAGCGGCTTCAACGAGGACAACCCTTACGACAAGCCGCTGTTTGCGGCACAAGAAGTCATCAACAATATCTACCGCCCTCGGGCCAACATGGACGACGAAGAGGATGAGGCTGCGGGCGACAAGGAGATGGCCAAGATTCAAAAGTCCAGCCGCTTCGGCGAGGCCCTCGGCAGGGGAACATTCAAGGGCACAGAAGATGTCGAGGTAAGCATGCCAGCTCGCAGCGCAATGAAGTTGAAAGCTAACAAGTCTGCTTTACAGGAAAGGGAGGGACCAGTACAGTTCGAAAAGGACGCGGGAGACCCCTTCAACGTTGACAAGTTTTTGTCCGAGGTGGAGCAGAGTTCATCGTCCAAGAGAGGATACGGACTCAATGACGAAGAATCCCGGCAGTCAAAGCGGGCCCGAGTAGAAGAAGACGAGGATTAAAGGGCAGGTACTAGCACCAGGCAGCAGGCTTGTTCGGCGCGGCGGAACGCAGACGGTCATTGAGATGGCGACTCGTTGAGGCATGGTGGAAAAAAAGGCACGTGTGGAGACAGCGACGATGTTGAGAAACCAGGGCGGAGAGCAAAATGCAGGAAAAGAATTTGGTGAGCTCCGTACAGAAGTCGGTGCGAGCTAAGACGAAGAACCATTGGACGATTGCGTGGTGTAACCAATGTTCTAGGGCGAAGAGGCAAGGGGTGAAAGCCGACTGGTCAGTCAGCAGCGACGTTGACGGTTTCAAAGCCTCGAGATTCATGCGGGATCGTTTGGCTCAGCAAGCTCAAAGCCGAGAACCGGACGAGGCGGACACATTTTTTTCTTGTCTGGTATGCTCGCCAGGCGATCCGGGTTCGTGCCAGACAGGCAGGCTTGATGGTTCGGTAAAACTTGTCAGAGTTGGGTGTGTCGGGCTCAAGTGACAGTCAGGGTCGACGAGGGCGGCGCCGCGGGTGGTCATTGGCTGCGTCAATATTCGGAAGCAACAGTCAAGACATCAGGCGAGCAGGGGTTGGTTGGGTTTGGGGGGCTTGAAGGGGGGGAAAGTTGAGACGAAGATCAGGCAGGGTGGGAAACGTGGGACATGGAGCATTGGACGTTCCGGCCTATATTTGTTGTCCGTAGCTTGATTGACGGCTTGTTGAAACAGTTGTAGTGGTTCTCTCTCGCTCTCTCTTTTTTGATTTTTGTGTTAGGCTCCGGGTCGGAGACTCTAGCAGCATTGGCCAAGAACCAACCGATGCCGATGATGTGCTGAGGCTAGTCCAGCACTTTCCAGGTTCCAGCAGCGTGGATTGGAGCAAAAGGGTGAGGGCGAGAGGCAGGGGGGAAGTCAAGAATGGGGAAAGTTGGCCACAGCTGAAGCATCGCGAGCTTACCAGCCAGGAGAGTGCGCCATTCTGGTAAGCTTAATTTCTGGAGTTCGGCATCGAGATGCGGCTGTTGGCTTGTTCTGAGTCGAGAGTTGAGACTCAGAGTTTTGAGGCTTGCTTCTGATATTTGGCTTTCTCGGCAGCGTTCGCCAGCAGTTCCGATGCAGCCTCAGCCCACCAACTCGTAGAGACCAGGTTTGCGAGAGCTGATCGACTCGGTTCATATGTGAGCGTTCCCCTTCACCCGACCCTTCTTCTTGTCCATTGAGTTCCTGGTTGCACGAGCGGCAGCGGGCAAGTCAAGCCTGATCCGAATGCGGGATTCCAAGCGCAGATCGACACGAGATGTTGGGTTCTGTCAGCGGGCTGATGTCCATTCATGCGGGCGGAGCCCTTGCGGATACATGAGGAGAGGGCAATAACTACCGCAGTATGGAGACAGCTAACAGGTAAGCTTTTATTATTCCAATTTTTTCAGAGTTATTTTATTCTCTTTTCCCTGTGCCTGGCGAGGCAAGAACAATGGAACGTTGAGACTTTTAATGGTGGAGTTTGGAGAGAGACACAACTGATGGCCCAAGACTTCGGTTGGCTTCAGCGCCCAACTTGGCTCCTGTCGCCAAGCCCTTTAGCGCAGGTGCGCTGTTCGCCCCGTACGCCATGGCAGTGTGGCACCTGCAGGCGGCGCGCTTTGAGGCGCTATGAAGTGTCGATCGAGCCCGGCTGCATCATCCGAGTTCAACGTCAAGCCTTTCTTTTGCTTCTTCTTCTTCTTCCTGCATCAGCAGTTCGGACTCGTTTTCTCTAGCACTGACCGGGCGCCAGCCTACACAAACACACTCGCCGAGGGACATACATCAAGCCGAGGCAGGTGTTCTCATCTTTCCGTTCCATCTCCATGAACGAACGGCGAAGCTGAGATCCGGCCGAAGTCAACCTGACCTCCTCCCGCCCAGCTGAAGAAAAGCTTGGTTCCTCCTCGTGGAGTCAGTCGTGGAGTCAGTCGTGGAGTGAGGGGATGGATGAGCAGCAGAACTCCGCCAGGGAGGAAGACCCCGGCCGGCAGTCCTCCATTCCATCCCATCTATGTTTCTCATTCCTCGCTACCTGCCGCGCTCTACCAAGATCCCACTCCAGAGACCAAGACAGGACCCTGTAACGACGTGCTGCACGTCCACTTCAGATGTTCCGTCGCTGTCCTCTTTTGCCCCTTCCTTCATGCCCGAGAGGTGTCTCTGGCCCCAAAGCATGAACAGGAAGCTTCTTCCCAGACACGACACCCCGGACGCACCGGCCAGCCATCAGCGGCCAGCATGACAGACTTGACTTTTGCGATGCACCTCAGGTCTGAGTCCACTACACACCAAAACCCCGGCCTGTCAAGGTTCGTGTAGAGAGTGTCACTGTCCGCCCTGGCTCAATGCTCTGCAGAAGCCTGCGAGGCATGCCTGGCCTGGTCTCGTCTTGTCTGGTGTGGTCTGGCAGTGTCTGTCGTCTGGCCTCTCCACGACCACGACCACCACCTGCAAACTAGCTCCCGAAGCTCTCGTGGTCGGCGCCGTCATCCAGTTGCATCCGAGCCCGAACTTGGCGTCCGGCGGCGGTGCCAGTCGTTCTTTTGTTTCCTTATGCCTTACCCCTGGCATCTGCGAGCGTCCAGGGTATCACCCATACCTCGGACGCACTGCTGAAGCTCAATTGCCAAGTTGGCGGTTACTTGTTGGGCACCTTGTATCATGTCTCTGCCCCCCGCGTCGTGGCCTCGGCGGCGAACTTCGTCGTGTCTTTGACGGAGGAGCCCACGACGATGCTTATTTCTTTCCGGTCTGCCCACCTCCGGTTTATTCTGGACTTGCTCTGTTCCTTCATCTCTTCTCGTCGTCGTTAATTTTGGTACCGGGCATTTACACTACCTTCCATTTTAATATCTCTCCATAATTTCATTTCATGCCTCTGCGAGGACTGCGCCGCCTTCACATTCAGCTACCACACCAAACCCGTCCAAAGTACCCATATCTCCATCGTTGCCCGCGCTCACCGAGCCACGGTTCATCCCCCCGGCATACCACGCCATATTATACTAGCCCGAAAGCTGGCTCAATAATACGAGAATCCCGCGCCTTAGACTCACAGCAGCGCGCTCTTCACAGTTCCCCCCTGATGCGAGACGTATCGGCATCCCCTGCAGACACACTTGGAGTCGGGCAACTGGACTAGTCCCATTGGGCCCAGGTTGTTAGAGCGATCCACCACCAGCAACGTACACGCGTACGTAGTACGTATGATAGGCGTAATCGTCGGACGCTCTGATTTTAAATCGGGGAGCGTATCAGCTTGAAGACGATGGTTCCAAATCTGGGGCCAAACTCATCACTCGGCTACACTCCGTTCGAATACTGGAAGGGCCCGAAACCTGTCATTCCCAGGCCAAAACGCAAATCAAGAGCCGTCGCCCTCGATCTAGAACCGCTGCTTCCCACCCCCACACCGGGCCCGAGGCCTCGCGCTGCCGCAACATGGCCCGGTCAACATAGCCTGAAGAAACCTCAACGCCCTCCTCCTCCCCCGAGTGCCTTCGTGGCGCAGCCACACTCGTTCATCGCCTCGCCCAATAAGGCGAAACCTTTTGCGGAGATTCTCGTCGTCCCCCCAAAGGTCCTGGTGCATCCACTTTTTCGAGACGAGATAAAGACCCCAGACTGGCCCAGGGGATTCTCCCCGTACCCGGACTCAATGAACGATTCGACTTACAACATCATGGGCGAATACGGTTTTTCAAACGAGCGCCTCGCCCAGAAGCCCGCCACCGCGTGGTGGGATCCCAGGGGGTGGACGAAGCGTATCTGGGCCGGTGTTAGTGCCGCCATCATCATTCTCATCGTTATCATCGTCGCCGTCGCCGTCACCCAGGCCAACGCCAACCGATACCCAGACTACTCCAAGCTGTCGTATACGCTGAGTGACACATGTACGGATCAACCATGCGAGGACTCCTCACCAGAAATCCCCGACTGATAAACATTGGAAACCCCAACACAGACTCTGGAGAGGACTTTTTTGACAAGTTCAACTACTTCAACACATATGACCCAAGTGTGTTTCACTCACACTCGACTGCCCGGCGCAGCAGCATACTAACTGAGCCCGACAGCGGGAGGAATGGTTCACTACGTTGGCTCAGCTGAGGCGGCATCACGGGTACATTCAACACCACTCCTACTTGACGTAACATCAAACTGAACACCAGCCCAAAAAGAACCTGACGTACGCCACCTCCGACACGGCGGTACTCCGCGTCGACAGCACCACCGGCAATAGCTCCACCCCAGACGCCTCGACCGGCCGCTTCTCCGTCCGCGTCGAGTCCAAGACGCAGTACAACAAGGGCCTCTTCGTCTTCGACGTCAAGCACACCCCGTACGGGTGCGCCTCCTGGCCGGCGCTGTGGTTCTCGGACCCCAACAACTGGCCCGACTACGGAGAGATCGACGTCATGGAGGCCATCAACCAGGGCACCGACGGCAACCAGATGACGCTGCACACCACTTCGGGCTGCAAGATGGACGTTAAGCGCAAGCAAACGGGCAGCGTCCTCGAGACCGACTGCAAGAACTCGACAAACTCCAACGCCGGCTGCGGCGTCGAGGGCACCACCTCCTCGTACGGCGCCGCCTTCAACAAGGGCGGCGGCGGCTACATGGCCATGGAGTGGCGCGAGGAGGGCATCCGTGTGTGGCAGTTCGCCCGTTCCAGCGCGCCGTCCGACATCACTAACAGCTCGCCGGACCCGAGCGCCTGGGGCGAGGCCCTCGCCGACTTCCCCAACACGTCCTGCGACATGTCGTCGCACTTCAAGAACCAGTCGCTCATCATCAACATTGATGTCTGCGGCTCGCTCGTCGAGGCTAAGTACGCCGACTCGGGCTGCGGCGGCACGAGCTGCTCTGACTTTCAGGCCAACAACCCCAGCGCCTTCGAGACGGCGTACTGGGAATTTGGAACCTTCAAGTTCTACTCGGCTTCGTGATGTGATAAACTACTTAAAAAGGGATGTGTTCACACTGGAAAACACTGTTTATCTATATAAAGCATGAGATGATTGCCACCGAGGCAGGTCACCGGTGGCTAAAATGATCGTAACGGACGGGCGATCAATGACCTTTTGACTTTCAACGAGCGAGCGAGCCTTTCGACATTCTGGTGGTTTTACACTCGAGAGGCAGGGATTTTCTACAGATAAGACGAAAAGGGGGGGACGCAAAAGTCCTACAACAAAAGTTCATAGTTCTTTCACCATTTCAGAATGGCTGCGGACTTAATGTCTAGAATGGTCTTGTGTCTATATATTACAATTCACTCCTCGCAACCGGAAGAAGCTTGTGCCTTGTGCCGTCATGTGAAATGATACACACGCCGAAAGTGAGGAGTTTCGGTCCCAACCCATCGTCATACAAGAAATGCTGCCTGCCACAGCCCGGGGAAAGAAAAAGTCAAAGTGGAGAGGTCCCTTGAAGTCTATCATCCCTCCCCCCGTCGAAGCCTCCATCCCGAAGAGGCTCCCCTTGAACGCCATGCAATGCAAACAATATGAAGCCACCACCACCAACCCCCTTTTTCATACACTCCCCGTCGACCAGCATCTACTCGTCCTTCGGACTCCTCATGTACGCATCAATCGCCGCGCTGAACGCCGCAAACGCAACGCACCCGCCCAGCGCCGCCTGCGGCCCCGCGTTCTTGGCCAGGATCCCGCCCGTCAGGCACCCCGCCGCCACGCCGTTGCCCAGGTCGTTCTTGGCCCGCAGCCCCTCGATCCCGCACTCGATGCCCGCGAACAGCGCGCCCACCTTGCCAAAGTTCTTGGCCATGCTGTACGACCGCGTCCCCATGTCCTTGAACCCCACCCGCAGCTGCTGCCGCAGCGGCAGCTCCGCGATGGGCGTCGTCGTCGGCTTGCCGTCGATCGTCGCCGTGTGGAAGGGTGTGTCGTAGGACATCTATTGCGTCTTCGTGTGAGTTTCTCGGTCTCGTAAAGGCAGCTCAGGGAGGTGACTGCGGGGAGGGGGGCTTACGGAGGCCATGAACATGCCAAACAGTCCACCCATGCCGAATCCCATCACACCAGACATGACGCTCTTGGTCCAGCAGTTCTCCATGAAGTTTTGCATCTAGAACGGCTCGTCAGTGCTTTGCTCCTCTCACATTTGCGCAAATGCCCACACGTACAGCTGCCATCTGCGGATCCGAGGGACCCATTGCCGCATCGGCTGGCGATCCCGCCTGAGGGCCAACACCGGGGAAACTCATGATGAATAGATCGATCGATATTTCGCGGTAGGGAGGTACGTTGCTCGAAGCGCGATAATTGAATGCGATCGCGACGCGTGGAAGAGGTTCGCGGGAGTTGACGGATCACCAAAATTCTGCCGCAGCAAACCACTCAGCGTTCTCGATGGCAAAAGATAAATTTCTTATCTTATCGGATTTGGACTCAGTGGCACGTGCTTCTCCGACCGGCCTCCGAGCGGTCCCTCCCGAAGCTGGTGGGGTCCCTCCGGACATTCTCCGTGCGCCGCCCAAATCAGTAAACACAGCATCATCACTCTTACTGGACAGCAACACTCGTTTCCACGTCTTAAAATGAGCTACAAGAAGTCTGCCTCTATCGCGTGGGCACGGAATGAATCGCCCGCAATGACCCCGCTCGGCCTATCATATGAATGCCTATTGGTCAAAGTAAGAGTTGAGACCAATCCTGCCCGTCTTCGGCTCCAACTTCCGTCCAGCCATAATTGGCTGCAGTTTATCGTTACCATTCCGAGATGCAGCATCGGACGTGATTCTAATAACTTCAACCTGTTTCATGGGCATTCAATTCTGCAGCAAGAGGAAACGTTTACCGCAAAAACAGGTCACCAACGCCGTTCCTAAGTGTTCTCGTCCGGTCAACATGGTCCAGGCCGAGGAAGTCGTCGTCGTTTGTCGCAATGTCCCAGAGTACGTCGTCTGCCAAGTGTCAGAATCACAAACGCAACAAAGGCGATTAGCTATCTTACCATCCTGAAGGTATTGTGGCTTGGAGAAGTGCGATCTCTTAACCACCGCAAACTTGATCTTCTCGAAGCTCTTGCCCTTGAAGCCAGTCCTCTTCTCGAGACGCTTTTTGGTTTCCGCAAACGGTTCGCTCTGTGCCATATTAGCATCAAACAATAAATAAATCAGGTGACGCGTACCTCAATGAGCAAGAATTTGAACGGAATGCCGTGGACTCTGTTCGGCTCATTCTGGAAGTGGAACACTTGAATGAAGTTGTTCGCCTCTTCCTCGTTGGCCTCTTCTTCAGGAACTCTCTCGGCGTAGACGTTCGTGTAGTCGTTCATGCTGATAACAGGGTAGTCCCGCGGGAGTTCACGATAGAACTTGTGACTGCTGGTCTCATACACCCGGATGCGGCCTCCTTCAGCTTCCTCTGGGATACCCGCCTTCTTGACCAAGACCTGGATGAGGTCCTCAATGTTGCCATTCTTGGCGACAAGGAGATCGTAGTGGTCCTATTTGGGGTCAGCGTCTCGCACAGCACTCTTTGAAAATTGCCTCACCTCTTTCGTGATGCCTTCGCTGAGCCATGTAATCTTGATACTCTTCTTGGTGTCCAACTCAGCCAAGCTCATGTCCAGGACTTCGAAATAGAAAGCATCTGTCCTTTGGCTTGTGCTAAGTTGGTTGTAACCTGAAGGGTTGAGGATGAGTTGTAAGCTCTGATTAACGCCGCGCTTGACAGTCGTCTTGGGGTTTCCCGTGGCCGAATTGACGGTCCAGAAGCGAATGTGAGTGGCCGGCACACCTATTCTGTCGGCGACGCGTTCTGAGAGCATGTCGTAAGTGATCTTGGAGTTCAGAACCAGCTCGAAAGGCTGGTACTTTTCGGCGTTGCAACGTGTCGGGTGCGCGTGGAATTTGACAGTCTTCTTGTTGTGCAGGAAGTCGTAGTATTCCCGCGCGTCGTCAAACCGGTCCGATTTCTTGACTGGCTGCTCTGGTGTTTGCTTGTCCTTATCGCCCAAACCCAGATGCTTCTCCAGAATGTTCTTATCACTCTTGCGCTCAGTGGTTTTTTGGAAGCAAATGATGTCACCGTCCTGTAGCTCTGCGGCTTTGAGAGACTGCTTAGCCTTCAAAGCCTCGATCATGGTTGGCTTGATCTCCTCCCACAATGAGATCTTCTCATCAGAAGGCAGCTTATCGCCCCAGCCCATCTTCTTCATAATGATCGGCACCAGCTCCTCGACCTTCTTCTCCTTACTAATATAGACGTGGCCGATGCCATTCAATGACTGCTCTTCGACATCGAAGTGCTTGAGGAAGAGTAGGATCAAATCGTTCTTCACAACCACCCCATTGAGCTGGCTTTGATAAGTCGGCCAGATTGCTTCGCCTTCAGGTGTAGTCTCCTCGGCGACCTCGGCCCAAACTCTCAAGGACTGGTCCCGGTGCGCGGCAGCCCTCTGGAAGGTCTCCTCCACCGTAGGGCGAAGATCCATGATGGGTTGATCGGGACGAATCGTCTTGTTCTGCCGGTTGACCATAATCCACAGTCGAATCTTCCGGGGATCTTCATCAATGTCCTTCGCAATCGTCGCTACCAGCTCTTCCATCGCAGACTGACGAAGTACCCTGTAGGACCGGGGGGCGGCCTCTGTCTCGGCTTGGTCCGGCTCAAACGAGGTCAGATCCGTGCCGCCATGCTTCCGGAAGCTCTGCTCCGTGATGACCTTAACACCAATGTAAAGATGCTGCTCCTCCTTTTCCTTGCGCTTCGCCTCTCTGAGGGCGGTTTCCTCCTCAAACCTGGTTCGGAGATGCATAGGAATGTCGTCCTTGGTGACAGGGCAAAGAATGTTGTCGAGGCGGGTTTTGCGAATATACACCAACATGTAAGCGCTGTTCTGGCGCAGAACTGGGGTCTTCTTCTGCATGGGGGCGCGGAGGTAGGCGTTGGGGCTGGTCTTGTACTCTCCGCCAAAGTTCTCCTCCAGGACCTCACGCATTGTAGCCTTCGTAACCTTGTCATCGTCGTACTTGTAGAACCATCCATCCTTCTCAGGCTTGAGGAAGGCATAGTAGTGGCCAGCGTTGAGGTCACCACTGTGAACAAGTACACCGTGCAGCTGGTACTCCCAAGACTCTGACCTGTCAGCGTCTTCGGACAGGTAAGGGGACGCATCGAAGTGCTCGGGGAACTCGTATCGGTCATTGATCTTCATCATCGTGTCGCGTTGAATATCGTACTCGAATCGCTTGAGCTGCAGGTGGAGGACGTTGGGGAAGCTCTGGAAGATCACACCCTTGTTGGCATCCTGAAGCTTGAACTCGTCGCCGGCAAAGTACTGGTTCTCGCCATCCATCTTCTCCACCTGAACATAGTCCTGGAAACTCTCCAAGAGGTTCTTGTTTCCGCTCACGTTCAGCTGAATATCCCAAAAGTCCTCGATACGGCTAGACTCGTAGTCGACGTTGATGCACGAGATGTAGGTCTTGATCTTACCGCTGAACATCTGAGGAAGAACATGTTCAGCTGGCGTGCCCTTCATCTTCTCCTCCATGCGTTCCATGAGCTTACGCGACAGCTCTTGAACATCTTGCTGTTCAAAAATGTGTCGCGTTTCCCACCCGAAAGATTTGGTCAGTTCATTGGTTCCGACAGCGGTCTCGGAGGTTTGGAGCTGATAGAAAAGACGCTGGAGTGTGTATGCACTGTTGCTCATGCTCTCTTCTTCTTGCGTAGGGATTTCGTAAATCGCCTATGTTTGTTAGCTTGATACCGATGGGGTGGGACAATTGCGACTCTACTTTTCGGAATGCGTTGGTAAAATACAAAGATTGGAGGAGAGAGTTGAGGTAGCACGTGGCACCTTGGTTGCGCAGACCGACATAGCCGGTTTCCTTCTTGGAGTCGTAGTTGTTGAAGTTGTGCCAGAGAACTCCCGTCTCGTCTTCGACGATGCGAACGTATGCCGTGATGTTGGCCGTCTCGTTCTCGCACAATGGTCGGTCGCCTGACTCCCAGGGAACATTGAACATCTTGCGAAGCTCCAGGAATCGAGTAAATCCCCAATCAGACTCCTCTTTGGTGAAGCGATGGTGAGCACAGTGATGGGTATATAATTTCGGGTCGTTCGGGTTCCATAGCACCAAGGCGAACTGCACGCAGCAGCTCCAGTTCTCGGGTATCTGAGTCGGCTCGAATCCATGCTCGAGGTAGATGGAGCACTGATCAACGTTATTGCCGTGCGGGAAGAGCAAGATACGCCTATGGAGGGTGGTTAGCTAGGTTGATGCGAGATGCGACGGGGAGTAGAAGCATACCATGGGTAGCCACCGGCTTCAAAGACGGGACCATGTTCTTTCTTGGACATTGACCTCCAGGACTCCACGGTCCACGTGTGATGGACATCTTCGAGGATGCGGGGCTCCTCGAGAAGTGGTGGGAAGATGACATCTTTCATGGCCTCATCTGGTCCGAGTTAGCCGGGGCAAGGTGTGTCGGCAGAGGATTGGGTGATCTCACAGTCGGTGGCTAAGGGCAGGTCTTGGAGCTGTTCGACCTCATTGTCGAGATTGTCTGGGTTGATGATGGCGATGGGCTCCTTCTCGGAGTCGGGGCCGCCGACGTATTCGTCGGTGTCCACCACCATCTCGTTCGGCGAGTGTATGTCGTTGTTATAGCTCTGTGTCGGTAGCGATGAGGGTTAGCTCAATTCAGGCTTGGCGGTATGGTAAATTAGGCGACGGGTGGGAGTGTTGTCTGTCTGGAGAGGATGGCCGAGCAGCTTGTGGGCTTGGACTTTGGAGGATGGTGGGGTGAAAAGCAGGTGAAGCACATGGGACGTGCCGAGGGGAGATTGCAGCGACGAGGGCGGACTCAGCAGACGGGAAGCTCAAAGAACGGAGGCGAGAAACAATCGGGCAAGGGAAAGAGGGGCTGAATGGCAAGTGAGTGGTTGTCGAGGCTTACCATGGTCTACAACTGTGGTGTGCAAGAGGATGCACAATGTCGCTGCCAGTGCCAGGGCCGGGGCCAAAGCCAGGAAAGTACAGCTAGACAGCGATTCGCGCCAGTGCTGCCTCGATGACGAAGTAGGAGCCGCGAAGGGCAGGCGGGCAGCGGGTGATGGAAGGTAGCCGGCAGGCTGCGTTCAAAGACACGGGCACGGCGGGTGCAAGGAGCAATGGTGTCTTGGTGAGAAGGAATCGGCGTTGGAGTTGGTGTCGGCGAGGCAAGAGTAGTTGCATGAATTGCAGCCACGACCAGGAGGTGGAGGCGGGCGAGGCAAGACCTTGGCCTGGCTGTCTGGTACGGTAGGTAGGTAGGTAACCTAAGGTACCTCACCTTGCTTGGGTCGGTCTAGGTGTGAGCAGCAAGCAGCGTGTCGACGGTCGGTCTGCGTCGGTCGGTAGAGGTCTGGCGGGCAGGTACCTACAGTACTGACGCAAATGGTGGGATCTGGCCGCGGGGGGCAGCAGGCACGAGACAGGTTGACGAGTTCGAGGCGATTTACCAGTCAGCCCTCCTTCGTCCAGTGAGGGAGATGCAGAGTACGTGACTAGACACTGAGCTTGAGCACTGCCTCTGCGGAAATCCAGTCGTCGTGGAGCAGGGAAGGAGAAGAAAAAAAAATAAGTTGGGGAGGGCGCAGTGTGTGGTGCCGCGACAGAGAGCAGCCCGTACAGTTGATTTGCTTGATCCTCTTCCTCCAGTGTCAGTGAAGTGTGAGAGGCAGCTCGATGGAGACGGGACGGGGACTGCGATGGAGACTTGGAGAAAGGTATCGCCTGTTAAGGAAACGGGTTACGATGCTGGTTCAGCCTTGACAAAAGTGGATACCTGAGGAATCGCAGTCGAGGGCATTGCCCCGCTGTCGAGAGATCAGCCCAGCCAGTAGGAACTTTTTTATGCCCGCCTGGCTGGGCTCACCTCTCAACTCCATGCTGCCATGGAGCAAGGAAGCCCATCTCTGTGCATTCACTGCAGTGTGTACGCAGCAGGTAAGGTAGGTACCTTAGCGCAGCAGCACCGTCAATCAGTCGCCAGTTGCTGGGTGCTGTGCGGGCACGCGGGACCACGCCCGGAGCAAAGCTGCCCTATTGTTGCTCCACTCCCACTCCCCGGGCTCACCTCAGTCACCACACTACCTCCCGTCTGGTGCAGCGAGTGCTACCACGCAATCAGCAGTTCCCCACCTCCCTCTCCAATGACGTTGCTGTGACCGCCAACATGGCTGCTTCGTTTTCTTTCATGTCTGCAAGCCACACGTCGTCTCTCCTTGCCTTAGCACGTTACCTCGCTTGAAGCAAGGCACGACTTGACACTGGTGATGCCGCCTGTTGCTGGGGCGAGCAGCACGACGCTCCCGATAGCCTTGCATCTAGGGGGATTGCTCTGTAACAGCGGGCAAGTAGACAGGGCGAATGCCAACGCACTTTGCACTTTATTCGAAGCATCGGACATCAAGTCAATGTGCCTACTTAGGTTGGGAAAGCCTCCCTATTCGGCTGTTGCTGTTCCGTTTCCGGGTCGAGTAACATGAGCACGCCAATTGTCCCTTTTGTCCCGTCTCCCCTATTTCTCCTATGGCTGTCCTATTCTCACTTCCGTTCGATCTCTTCTTGAGCATCTCAGCATTTGGGTCCTCAACCCGAACGCAGACCTCAGACGATATCTCCAACTCATTCATGACTAAGTGCACAGGCGTTCGATAACCTCACCTTAGCTTAGCTTTCCGAGTGCACAAGAGCTGTCAATGCGAACCCCGACACTTCGGCCGAATTCAATGCTGCCTCTGTCTAAGCAACAGCTTACCATCTGGCACACCCTGACTCTTCGACGTGCGCCTTCCCACAGCATTGGATGCACGTAAGCTCTTACACCGAACATCGTTGGCGACGCTATTCTTTCCATCACGGGATCCTCTGGAGGCCAGCTCTGCAACTGTATAAACCTTACATGATATATGGGAGACGGTGCAGATGAGATCCAAGACGAGATCAGATGCGGCAGCCCACTTCAAAACTGCCCATTGCGGAACCCCTCCCGTCTGGAGGCTGCCGGTCAGTTACAAATGTCACATCAACTACATCTGCCTCATGATTGGCAGCACAGCCGAGTAGAGATCCCGAGGCAATGCCTATTTCTCCCTCAGCGAACCCAACCATCGACTGCTTCCATCCCATCGCTCTTTCGCCCATGGTGTGATCCGGAAAAATAGGCCTCATACAGGTCCAGTGCAACCAGCTCATCAGGTCCGCGGTTAGCAGGAAAGAACCTCGTCTCAGTACGTCTTCGAAACAAGACAAGGTTGAGCCTTGTCACAGGGAAACAAACATCTGCCCACAAGCATCTTGAACATGTGAAGACCTCTTCTTGCCTGGCTTGACTACCTATCAAGACATCGACATCATCTCCTCTCGTGCTGGACAAGCGCCCAATGCCTGAAACGGCGCCTCACTCTACCTCTTTCGATCAAGATGTGATTCTTCCCCTTGACCGAGCTGACATGTCTGGAAATCCGGTCTGTCAGGCGGGAGAAACGCACCTCCAAACAGCTCGTGCAGGGGCTCCATCCCGCCCCCTCGGCCCAATCACGAACCGCCGCTACTACGCTAGACCAGGGATGCCCGTTACGGCAGTCCGCAGCGTGGTGCGCCGATTCCGCAGTGTGGGGTACCCGTTCCAGACCCTGCCAGTGCCTGCCCCAGGGTATCATTCAGCGGCCATTTCCTGCTGCGAGAGTCATCCAATCCGTCCACCACTTTTCAGGCCCCGTCCCCGGGAGACCACCAGACCATGAGCTTCAACAGCTGCCCAACCGTCCCTCGAAGATCCTAAAATTCGCTCATATACCCCTTCGCCCGACCCTCCTACAGGTCCAGCTTTCCTCCCGCACCTGGAGTTCCGACAGCTCCTACAGCAGCTTCTGCTTGCTCCCTGCGCCGACGACTTTTTCCCAGAGATACTCCCCGCGCATGGAATCGACGGCATGGTTTCAATCGCATTGCGGCATGCCAGCCATGCCAGTCGACGATGCGGACTGACAGCAGCCCCGAGGAGGGCATCGCCCGCGGCTAGGAACAAGCTCCTGGATCTCAGCGCCTCGCTGTCGCAATGGCGCCCCATGAGCAGCTCGAATTGGAGACCGGTGTCGGTCCTAGACGAGTGAGTGCGCCGCCAAATCCTTCCGTCGTGTACCTGTCGTCACATGCTGACCCAACCTCCCCCAGATGGGTTGCCAAAGAAGCACGTCCTATTAGTCTGCGCCAACTTATGGTCTTTGGTCGTTCTCTCACGGAATCACGACTTCTCAGCTCTGCAAACTACGTTCGTACGGAGCTGCCAACTAGGTACGTCGTCGCCGCCACCGAGTCATACCGCCTCCGCAGAGTCTAAAAGACTAACTCGACCCCCACGACAGAATCGCCCACCGCATAAGAGATCTGGAGCAGCTTCCCTACGTCGTCGTCGAGAACCCCCACATCAAGGAAGTATACGAGCTCTATCAAAGAGCCTTCGACACCTTTCGCAAGGTCAAGGAGATCAAGAGCCTTGAGGACAATGAGCGCTTCTGCAAGATCATCAGCGGCATGCTGAAGGCGCATCTGACCGTCATTCCAAAACTGTCGATGGGCATTCTCGAATCCAGGGGCTTGATGGATGCCGAAGACTTGGACAAGTTTATGAACACCATCCTCAGATCTGTAAGTTTCATACCCCCCTGCACGGCCGCGCCGACACCCCACGTTGGCACCCTAACATACCCCGTGTAGAGAATCTCCCGTAGAGTCATCGCCGAGCAACACCTCGCCCTAACAGAAACATACCACTCCCCCTGGTTCTCCCCAGGGGCGAAGCTCAACGAGTCAGAGTTCATCGGCGAGATCTTCATAAAATGCATCGCCCGCGACGTGATCGAGCGCTGTAGCCACGCAGTCGAGGCCCTCGCCCGCTCCACGTACGGCCGTGACGTCGAGGTCCCCGAAATCAAGGTCGTGGGCCACCTGGAAGCAAGCTTCCCCTACATCCTCAGCCATCTGGAGTACATCATCGGCGAGCTGCTCCGCAACTCGGTCCAAGCAGTTATCGAGCGCCGCCAGCGTAGTAAAAACCAGAGCGGGCCCGTCCCGCCTATTGAAGTGACCATCTGCGAGGCCCAGCAACATGTCATCATCCGCATCTCAGACCAGGGCGGCGGCATACCCAGAGACGAGCTGCCGTTCCTCTGGTCCTTTAGTAAAGGGCCCCAGAGCGAGCGCCGGCTGGAGAACCTGGGACGGGTCCCTAAACTGGCCGCCACCATGCAAGAGCTGCACGTCACCGACGAGCTGGGCCGCGCGGACTTGAAGACGCCAAATTACGGCAGCTCTCTGTCCTCCATGACTACCCGACCGCCGAACCTGCGTCTCGGCATGGGTCTGCCCCTGAGCAGGGTGTACGCGGAATACTGGGCCGGAAACCTCGAACTACACAGTCTCGAGGGCTACGGCGTAGATGCTTTCCTTCAGATATCGAAGCTTGGCAACAAGAACGAACAACTGACCACCAGAGCATCCATGGATGCTGTGTAGCTTCAGTGTAGAGTAGAAATCATCCTTTCTTTTATTCCATATATGTCAGGGCTAGGCACATGTAAAGATACCAACACGAATGACGACGACGGCGGAACCGGGACATTGCAGGGACGGCGCAGTGTAGTACCTCATTACGAACACGCATTGAATGTTTAGGATTATGGACGCCTTTCTCATTAATTTTGGTATCATGAAAAGGTGAGCTGGATTACATCGTGACTAAGAAACAGGGGGTAACTAAACGGGGAAGAAAGGGGGTAACAGGTTTTGTAAAGAAGAAAACTCCCGACGCATGGCCCATCTCATACCATGTCGTAGGACGTGGCTTTTGTGTGTTGTTTTTTTGATAAGACTCAGGTCGTAGTCATAAAGTCGATCACGGCGTCCAGTACGAACGACCAGATTTAGTGGCATATCCATAAAGATGCGTCTGGAAGACCGGGGACGATGCGGGCCTTTGGTGTCTTCGATCCCCGGAAGCTAAGAGAAGAACAAATGTCGAGAATCCAGCAAGCACCGACTGCCGAGACATAAACCGCTAAAAACTCGAGGCAAAACCTCGCCGTGGACACATTTAGCGGCGGCCGTGGCTGCGGACGGCGCTTCCTTGCATCTGCTCCAGCTCGGTCTCGAGCTGCTTGATCTGGGCGTGGGTCTGCTCGAGGTCCTTGTTGAGGCGGTCGCGCTCGGCAATGAGCTTCTGCTCCCACTGGCGGAAACGCTGCTCCTCGATCTTGACCTGCTCGGTGAAACGCTTGCGCAGCGCCTCCTCCTCCTCCTTGAACTTGGGGTTGTCCAGCTTCCTGGGGCGGGCCTCGCCGAACTTGCGGGTCTCCATTTGCTGAGCGCGGTAGGCCTCGTAGTGAAGTTCCTCGGTGGTGTGGATGAGGTCGAGCATGTGGGTGCGGATGAGGATGGAGCGGAGCTTCTTGAAGTCGCAGTGGTCCTCGTTCTCGACCTCAGCAACACCCCAAGAGTACTGACGACCTTTGACGACGCGGCCGTCGGCGGACTTGACATCCTTCTCGGAACCGATGACGGCGAAGGGCATAGCGGCCATCAAGCTGCGAGCGTGCTGAGCAGCAGCCTCATCGTCCTCCTCGACGGGGGGCTGGTAGATCTTGATGCTCTGAGCCTCGATAACGGCGCGAATCTGTGTTGGAGCACGTCAGTGTTGGTCAGTAGGAAATTATCACAGACACATACGCGCTGCTTGAACTTGGCCAGGTCCGCAGGGCTAAGAGTATCAGCCTTGGCGATGACCGGAATCAGGTTCACTCTCGAGCAGAGTCTCTTCATGACCTCGATGTCGAGGGGCTTCAAGGTGTGGCCGGTGGGGCGGATGAAGTACAAGCAGGCGTGGACACGGAGGTCGATCTTGTCCTGGCGGCGGGGCTGCTGCTCCTGAAGCATGTAAGACTCGTGCTGGTCGTCGAGGAATTCGATGATGGGCATCCACGAGTCGCGGTTGTTGACGTAGTCGCCGAAGCCGGGGGTGTCGATAACGGTCAGGCGGACTATAGCAGGTTAATCGTATGATCCAGACATTGGGGTTCCTGGGAGAACCATACCCTTGAAGAACTTCTCCTCAAGCTCAGCCTTGGTGATCTCGATCTCGACGGTCTTGTCGACCTGCTTCTGGTGACGGCGCTTGTGGTCGGCATAGTTCTTGATGGTCGTGGAGAAGAGGGTGTTGATGAAGGTGGTCTTTCCAAGGCCAGACTCGCCCGCAACCTAGAATGCAATCAGTATCCCGTCCAAGGTCGTCCAGCGAGATGCCTCTCAATAGAATTTTCGTACCATAATAGTAAAGCCAGCTCCTCGCTTGGCGACAATCTTATGCCGCTGGTTGGGAAGGTTGGCGATACCAATCGGTGAAGCGCTCTCGGCGGCGGCGGGGGCCATTTTGGGCGGTATTTGAAGGTTGACTGCTCAAAACACGTTGTTGATGGCTGGTTGGAGCTGTTTGGCCGCGAGTCTCGCAATTGAACACGCGACGGATTTCGTGATGTGGTTGCGGTGTGGGCGTGTTGACAGTTGAGTTGGGGAGGTTTGAGCTTGTGCTTCAGGGGAATCAAAAGGTGCCACCTCCAAATTTCCCTTACGGTCTTCTGGGGTTGTCTGCTGCACATTCATTGGGCACTTGTCCAGGGGACTAATGAAAGGGCCCCCCTTTTCCTGCCAATCAGTCCCCTTTTCCCCTGGTCCGTTCACCCAACAGCGCGCCTTACCTTGATGGGGATAGCCCACGGAGATAAGGATGAATGATTCGCCGACCCCACCAAAAAAAGTCCAGTCCCGGCTCAATCGATAAGAAACTTGGAGAGAATTTCTGTAGCTTCAAGGTGAGGAAATGGGTGCCAATTGACAATGAAGACCGATTTCAAGGTACGGTTCGCGTCTTTTCCCGCAAGCGCATGCGATTCTGACCAGGTGTTAAACTTGTAGTTCTCCAACTTGCTCGGCACGGTTTACTGCCAGGGCAACCTGCTCTTCAGCCCCGATGGCACCCATTTGTTCTCCCCCGTAGGGAACAGGGTCACTGTCTTTGATCTTGTGAAGTAGGTGAAGGCTCGCAAAATGTCGCGAATTGGCGCATAAGGCACTGGTATGCTAATTGTGATCTGTAGTAACAAGTCTCACACTCTGCCATTTGCGCATCGAAAGAACATCTCGAGAATCGGCCTGACGCCCCGGGGAAACCTGTTGCTGTCAATCGACGAAGATGGCCAAGCTATCCTGACGAATGTCCTTCGCCGAATCGCCATTTACCGATTCTCCTTCAAGTCAGCTCCCACCACGCTGTCATTTGCCCCATCTGGACGCCACTTTGCCGTTGGATTGGGTCGCAAGATCGAGGTCTGGCACGTTCCATCCACCCCGGACGCCAACGCCGAAGGAGAACTCGAGTTCGCCCCCTTTGTGAAATACCACACCCACACCGGCCACTTTGACGACGTGCGCCACATCGAATGGTCTAGCGATTCGCGATTCTTCCTTAGCACGTCCAAGGATCTGACGGCCAGGATATGGAGTTTGACTCAGGAAGAGGGATTCGTGCCCACGGTGCTCTCCGGTCACAAGCAAGCTGTGATTGGCGCCTGGTTTTCGGAAGACCAGGAGACAATTTACACGGTCAGCAAAGACGGCGCAGTTTTTGACTGGCAGTATGTCGGAAAGCCGGTTCAGGACGAGGACGAGATGGTTGACGTCGACGAGGACGATATGCGCTGGAGGATAGTCAACCGACACTACTTCATGCAGGGCAGCGCGCATGTGCGCTGCGCGACCTTCCACCCCGAGTCCAATCTTTTGGTGGCCGGCTTCTCCAACGGCACCTTTGGCCTGTACGAGATGCCCGACTTCAACATGATCCACAACCTGAACATCTCTCAAAACGACATCGACTTTGTAACGATCAACAAGAGCGGCGAGTGGTTGGCTTTTGGCGCGTCGAAGCTGGGTCAATTATTGGTCTGGGAATGGCAGTCAGAGTCGTACATCCTCAAGCAGCAGGGTCACTTCGATTCCATGAACTCTCTGGTCTACTCGCCCGACGGCCAGCGTATCGTTACGATCGCAGACGACGGCAAGATCAAGGTTTGGGACGTCGAGTCAGGATTCTGCATCGTAACCTTCACAGAGCACACGAGTGGCGTGACAGCCTGCGAGTTCTCCAAGAAGGGCAACGTTCTATTCACATCTAGCTTGGACGGCTCAGTAAGAGCGTGGGATCTCATCAGATATAGAAACTTCAGGACATTTACGGCCCCGACGAGGTTATCATGGTCCTGCATGGCCGTCGACCCCAGCGGCGACGTCGTCGCTGCTGGATCTCTGGACTCTTTCGACATCCACATCTGGTCTGTACAAACAGGTCAGCTCCTGGACCAACTGTCAGGACACGAAGGACCTGTGTCCGCTTTGGCCTTCACGCCAAACGGAGACTCTCTCATCAGTGGCAGCTGGGACCGCACCGCAAGAGTGTGGTCCATCTTCAACCGAACACAAACAAGCGAGCCTCTGCAGCTACAGGCCGATGTGCTCGACATCGCCGTGCGCCCCGACTCGCTGCAGCTTGCCGTCTCAACGCTGGACGGTCAGCTGTCGTTCTGGTCTATCCAGGATGCAGAGCAGGTGTCAGGTGTAGACGGCCGCCGCGATGTCTCTGGTGGTCGCAAGATCACCGACCGCAGGACAGCAGCCAACGTGTCAGGCACAAAGAGCTTCAACACGATTCGATACAGCACAGACGGCAGCTGCTTGCTGGCTGGTGGCAACAGCAAGTACATCTGCCTTTACTCAGTCCACACGATGGTGCTTCTCAAGAAGTTCACCGTCAGCGTCAACCTGTCCCTCTCCGGAACGCAAGAGTTCCTCAACAGCAGGCACCTCACCGAAGCCGGCCCTGACGCCATGCTCGACGACCAAGAGGCCTCCGATCGTGAGGACAGAGTGGACAACACCCTCCCAGGCTCTAAGCGCGGCGACCCTTCCTCGAGGAAGAAGCAGCCCGAAGTCCGCGTCTCCGGCGTCGCCTTTGCGCCTACAGGCACAGCCTTCTGCGCCGCCTCCACAGAGGGCTTGCTGATTTACAGCCTCGACAACCTCCTGCAGTTCGATCCCTTCGACCTGAACATGGAAATCACACCCGCCTCCACCCTCGCCGTCCTCGAAAACGAGAAGGACTACCTCAAGGCCCTGGTCATGGCCTTCCGCCTCAACGAGGCCGGTCTGATCAAGCGTGTGTTCCTCTCAATACCGCACAGCGATATCGCCCTCGTTGTTGAGGACACGCCAATCGTCTACGTCCCGAGGTTACTCCGCTTCGTGGCTGCGCAAACAGAGGAGACGCCGCACATTGAGTTCTGTCTGCTCTGGGTCAAGGCGCTGGTCGATAAGCACGGTGCCTGGCTCACGCAGCACCGAGGCAAGGTCGATGTTGAGCTGCGTGTTGTTTCGAGAGCTGTCGCACGAATGAGGGACGAGATTAGGAGGCTTGCGGACGACAACGTGTATATGGTGGATTACCTGCTTGGCCAGGCCAGTGAGAAGGAGTCGAGCGGTGTGAAGATGCTGGATCTTGCGGCCTACGACGCACCCAGCAAGACTTTGGCGATTGGAGACGCGGAGGATGGCAAGAGCGAGTCTGATGGTGAGGGTTGGATTGGTATGGATTAGATAATGGGCTGGAATAGATAAAATTACAATGTATACCCCGTTTTTACAATTTCCGGCATCCTACATCCTCGGTGATATCTTTCAGTGCCCGGCCGGCACCGAATATCCTGTGCAGTGGCGTTATCGGCATATCGTATTTGGTTACAGTTTCGAGGAGTCCCGAGAGGGCACGTCCTAAATAAGTCAGTCACAAAGGTCGAGGATCTCAGTTCGACTACTCACCTTCCACGCCTCGTCCAGGCCAGTCGATCGAACCCATTTCGTGCCAGAGTGTTCCGTACCGTCCAGAACTGAGTAATGCAGCTTGAGCCACTCATCGTCATTCTTGATCCTGATCCATCGCTTATTGCTGTATTTTTGGGATAGCTCCTGACAAATTCCGAGTGCTCGTATCACTTTGATGGTGTGTCCATCATCAGACTGGTGGTGAAATCTGGGGAGAAGATCTGTCTTGATGTAAGCATGCTTTCTCTCATTGACTTGAGCGACTGAAGTAACCTGTAGGCTTGGAGACGAGGTGCTTGTTCTGGTCCTTGTCCTTCGGCCTGTACGAGCTGATCGCGTCGGCGCGGATCTGCGGACTACCGCGCGCCGCGTACTGGACGAGGTCCATACGGATTTTGTGTTCCAGCATCCGAATCTTGTTCTCTGTGGAGATCCAAGATTTGGAGTTGAAGCAGAGGAAGATTGGCGATGCGTTGACGTGGTGGCTGTCCAACCATTAGCGGCGCTCAACTTCTCAAAGAACCCCGAATACTTACATCAAGAAGAAGTCCCATCTGGTCTCCTTTCCAGGCTTTATTGCTGCAGTCCCAGCAACATAGCAACTCGCGTGGAACATCTCTGCGGTCCTCTCATCAAGTTCCTCAGGCAAGACCTTTACCTTGCTCACAATCTCCATCATCTCACCTGGCGCACGCTTGAGAACCCCGTCAAAAACCTTGTTCGAATCCTTCATCTGTACCGAGTTCACCAACTTCTCCCTCCCTCTAATCTCCTCGATCAAATCCATGACTTCGGGCATCGGCGTCTTCGCATTCTTTGCGTTCTTCTCGGCCTCATTGAAGAATTCACCAAGCTGGTTCTTGTGCACAGAAGCCTCTGCCAGGGCCTCGGCGACGATGGCCGGCTGCTCCCACTCGACGCCGTACATGAGCTGAATGATGGGGTGCAGGAACCCCGCAGACATACGCTGAAACATGTCCTCGGCGCGCGCGTCACCCTTGAAGAGGTACTCGTTAAGCGTCTCCTCCCATCCCTTCTTCTCGATCTCGCGCTGGAAGAAGAGGAGGAAGTCGGGATAGTGCTTCTCCCTGCCGAGATACTTTTGCGCCTTGTCCCAGTCGTGTAGCTCGTCTGCGACGCCGTTGCTGGGGTCCTTGGCTGGACGCTGGTAGTTTGCATTGTCTTTCCATGCGAGTTGGAGAGCATCAGAGTCGGCGCCAGTGCCGTAGAGGGCAAGGAGGTGATGAGGTATCTAACAGGGGGGTGAGAGAGTTTCTACGGTGGGTGAGAGACAACTAACGTGGTTGTGGAATCCTTCAGCGTTGAAGAATACATGGTGCTTCTATGCAATGGTCATTACAAGTCTGATAAGATGAGGTTGTTTATGAGGGCCCTACTTCGAGGTCCTTTTGCAGAAGCTCAGACACCTTATTCGCGGAGGCATCCTGCTGATTGAACTTCCACAACCCAGTGTTTCCAACCGGGACCTTAATGTTGTAAGCCGTCGCCATTTTGATTGCTCTCGTGAAGTTGAAAAAATACGGTCGGTTTCCAATGATGGCAATGTGCTTAGAGATCCTCTTCGGTGCAGGGGATAGTCGCATCTTAGATAAAGATAAGCATCAACCCCGGGGAGGAGCTTCAGGCCGGAACTGAACCTTAATTAAGTACGCACTGCAGCAGGGGCACCTTCGACATGTAACTTCGCCAGCTTACAAATGAGGCACGTAGGAAAGGGGCGAGCGCGATGGATGACATACGATTCGGCTGTGTTCCCATAGGATGGTTAGTAGCGGGTAGGTTGGCAGGGGGTCTGTGATGCCCCTGTTTGAGTTTCCTCCTTGTCAACTACCCCAGATTTTGACGTCATCACCACGCTACGGGGTTGTAAGCGCGAGGCGACCCGTCGATTAGGCTAAGCCGTTTGGAGCCGTTTGGCAATCATTATTCAATTAGATTCACTTATTTGTTCTGGGATATTAGAGCTCGGATGATGTATGTCAGCTCCGATGACCTATCCGGCCTGATCTGGGTCGATCTTGACCTCGGTGCCGCCCGGACAGCGAGGATGTCCGAAAAGGAACAGGATACCGCCGGAAGTCTTGGCGGCGCCGTTTGTAAATCCGACCGATTTACAAGTCCGGCTTCGAGAACTGATGCCAAAACCAAGTTAGAATACCATCAGTGTAACGACGTTGAGTGTCGGTTGGTAAGCTCGGGTGGGGAAATCGTGGAGAAGGCATTCTAGACCCAACTCGGCTCTGGGCGTTCAACGCGAAAGCCGACTAGATGTGGAGTACACGTTCACGAAGTTCGAAAGGGCCCTGACTTCATATATACCGTGGGTGAAATTGTATGTAGTCTGTTCTGACTTTGTTGAACAACATCAGGTTACAAGTCTCACTATTCTGAATAGATATTTGGAAGGACGGAGGGCTACTCTGATCGTGGAGGAATAACCTGGGTGCCTGGGAACTTACAAAACAGCTCCTCCCCTCTCAATGAATAATGGAAAGGCTGCGGATAAACCAGTTGTAACGAGGCTGGTGGCGATCTTCAGATATCCCTTACTGACTCAGATTGCTGGCCAAGGCTTGGCGTTCAAGCCACACGCCTCCCTTGGCCTGCGACTCAAATAAGGCTGCCTCAAGCATCAAGAAGGCCTCTTTGCTGTTTGGCCGCTGCTGGTATCAAAAATAACATCCAAAAAAATAATGCTTCCATGGTCTAAATATAAGAATTCACCACCCAGGTCAAGCTCAAATTCAGCTCCTGACAGCTACAGTGGGTTCACTTAGACGCATGAGATCCTCTATTTTAGACGAGAACTTGCACGAGCTGTCTCATCTGTAGTCTCAGAGCATGATACCATGTAATCACTAAAAAGAAAGAAAGACACGGTCCTTGAAAATACCACTCAGAAAAGTGTCGCCACCCGAAGCACCGGAGAATAAACGCGGTTATGTGTGGCTGGCCATCGAACACAGGCAGTGTCAACAACGTGCCACTCACCCTCATAAGGCTGATCGGTACGGTCTTCGCCTTCACTAAGGAATGGCAGAGCTTACGGACTCATGTAGGATTTTAACCCCTTCTTCTGCGACATCTGGCCTTGGCCTTCGAAGGGATGAGGGGCGAGAGTTGGGTATCAGGCAGCAAGCATTCGCTCCTTTATGGGCTGCCTATCTCCCTCTTTCCCATAGTAATTGGAATTGAACCCATACCAGTCACAAACTTCTGCTTCTGTCGTGACAACCGCTTTCGATGCGCTTATCGATCATCCTTCTGCTGCCATGGCTAGCAGCAGCTCATGGCCAAATCATGTCGGAGCCGCCAGAACTCGCCCGGCGTGACGACGTGCCGCCAATTTCTGACTTCCTACGTCGAGCTTTTGCTTCAGGTTTGTTGTGGGTCAAATTTGATAGCTGGGAGCTAATTTCTCTTCAGCTATCATCATCGGTGACTATCTGTACATAGATGGCGGTGAAGTCGCACAGAACTATGACGGCAAGAATTTGTCCTCGTATTGCACCCCGTCATGGCCAGGTTAGTTCAGCTCATCTTCCCAGTGCAATACAACAAGTCATTGACCTTCTTGTTTAGTGAACTCGACGCTATCGATTAATTTGAAGCAGTCCTGGAATAGCGCGAATGTCACGATGCTTTCTGCCCCTAAGGGCGAAACGCCCAGGATGGAACTCCAGGGCATCTGGCGCGATACAGAGTCCAAGTCATTCTACATCTGGGGCGGGCAAGTTCCGTATTGGAGTAAACCACCGGAAAACGACATCTGGCGTTTCGAGGTTGACGGCAATGGAGGCGGCACCTGGTCAAAGAGGAGTCCGCCCAATCTGGCCGAGCTATACAAACTTGATCGAGCAACAGAGGGTGCTTTTTGCCAGAGCAAAACCACCGGCTACTATTTTGGAGGCTATGCAAACGAGCGAACCGACTTGTCTATTACAGACAAGGACAAGACCCGCAACGTTCCAGGGATTGTGTCCTACGACTTGAAGACTGGCTCGATCAACCATACTACCTTCCAAGGGTCTGGAAACTTTACATTCAAGGGTGGCACCATGGAATATGTGCCCTTTGGGCCGGACGGCTTACTGCTCGCATTGGGAGGGTTTCAAGGAGCACCGACAGAGACCGGCTATGGCAACTGGACAGGCGTAGACTTCACTTCCGTTAATTTATATGATATAAAGGGTGAGTGAAAACATCAAAATCCACGAGTCTCGACTAAACCAATCGTAGCCAAAAAGTGGCACTCCCAGCGTACCACCGGATCGAAGAGCAGCATTCCACCACCAACAGAGAAGTTCTTTACAGTTGGTGTCCAAGGACCTAACAAGACATATGAAATGTGAGCAGGGAATTTCGTCGAAGTCACATGCAGCTCACACGAATGCCCAATTCAGCTTCATCTACGGCGGGCTGGTCATTGGAGAATCGATACGGAATGCCACCGACGACGTATACGTCTTGAGCCTGCCCAGTTTTGTCTTCTTCAAGGCCAACGATCCGCAATCGACCAGACGCCTGGAGCAGGCTTGTGTTGCAACTGGGAGACAGATGATCTCTGTCGGCGGAACAGACGGCCGCGCCTGGCCCTCATCGTTGACAGAAAAAGATCCATGGCCTCAGGGCATCGGCATCTTCGACATGACAGAGATGCGTTGGAGTGATCAATATAACGCAAAGGCGGATGCGTATGAATCTCCCGAGGTAGTTCAGAACTGGTATAGCCAGGGAAATCAGGTGGACTGGTCAAGCGATGAAGTGGAAGCGTTATTCAAAGAGTGTAAGTGAGCATTGACCCAGCAAGGTGAGACTGCAATTAATCTCAAGAGAAGCTTCACTCCCAGATCCTACGAATACGCCAACATCATCTCCAATCGTTGGCGGCTCTGGAAAATCAGGGAAGCCCACGGGTGCCATTGTCGGCGGCGTTGTCGGCGGACTAGCAGGTCTGGCTGTCCTCGCTGGGCTTGCCGCATTCTTGCTCAAGCGAAAGAAGCGGCGCCCGGAGACTCCTGATCCCGCAAACTACACTCCGGTCTCGAAGTTCGGTTCTGTTGGCGGTGCTCACACAGAGCCTGCTATGACCCAGGTCCATGAAGCGAGTACTAACCAACAGTCGATCCCTGTGGAACTGCAGGGTAATCACGGGGTTTCTGAGGCATACTCGCCAACTCCTGTTAGACATGAAATGGCGGCATGAGGTGGCTCACAAAAGTTGACGTGGGAATCCAAGGCTGAGTTATTCGATTAGACGCAAATTTACACATTTGCGAAGGACACATGGTATTTGGGAAGCAAGGAACCCGATTTCCTGGATAGTGTCAGACACAGTCAAGGGAAACCGGTCGTACTCGCTTCCACTTGACGACCCAACTTGATCACTGGTGGTTCATGTTTCAGCTTATTAAGATGCCCTTCGAGTGCATCCAACCTGATTCGATTCTCATGTAAGCGTCATCGCTAGGAGTAACCAAGCCTGCGGTAAGTTGCAAAGTTTCCGTAGTGTTCCTATTCGGTTGTGAGACGAGGCAAGCCCTCGAGGTGACAAGGATTGGACTCAGAAGCAAATTGTGTAATTTCACTTAAAGTTCCATGTACTACTTCAACGCTTGAATCATGATATATGATCTCTTTGCTGCAAAAGCGCCAGGATCGCAGACTGTGACCCGGGACAGTCATGAATCCACGACATAACATTCAATGGTAGTGTTCAACCCCTAAGATCAAGTGCTCGCCTTGCTGGTCAAGAATGCGACCAGAACGGCAAGGTAGGCTGAAAGACCAAGCAGAATTGTCTCAGTCTGGATATTCTCCAACCATACCAACACAATGGAAACAAGACCAGAGAATGCAAGGACAATGCCGGCTGCCGTTTGGATACTTAGGTTAGGAAGGAAGCCTAGCAACGCCACTGGAAGCAGCAAGAGAATCGCGCAAAACCAGATGAGAACAGCGCGGAAGAGGAATACCACGGCGGCGTAATAAAGGCTCTTGGCGTTCTTTTCTTGCCTTGCACTTCTATCTTGCAGTATGTTCTGTGCCCAGTCAGACCAAGGAATCTTCAATTGCAGTTTACCCGCCGCAGGGAATTAGAGCAGTGGAGGGAGATTACTCACGGTGAAGGAAGAGTCCGGGATCTTGTAAAACAGGCTCTCGAATGCGAGCCGCAGCTTATCTGGTCGTGTGCTGATGAAGTCGTTTACATAGCATAGGTACTTCATTTCATCTTGACCAAGGTAGCCATCGTTCCGAACTTTGTCGTACCTTAACTTATGTTCTGCGTCGCCGACCTCGTAGAGAGCTGCTATAGCTTTCTCATTTAGCAATGCCTGTTCTACTTTTGTTAGTGAGAGTAACACAAGTCAAGAAGTCGGATAGAAAACTTACGGTAGCGCGCAAGATTCTCGAATATTGCTTCTATCTTCTGATTACGAGGATCAGGCTCTTCGTCCGACTGTGTAGGGTGTTGGTTCGGCTGCCCCTGGACACCTTCTCCGTTGGCTATTTGCCAATCCATCTCGAGAAGCTGGTCTTCCATGCGAGTGATCTTCTGCTCGTAGTACAGGAGGCAACGGTTCCCGAGGTAGCTGAATTTGCGGTGGATCGCTATGTTGACTGATTCATCCTGTTCGGCGGCGAGGCGCGCCCAGCCCTCTGGATAGCGCTCGACTTTCAAGAAGTTAGCGCGACCGATGGCGAGACCATGAGACTCCGTAACGAAATGACTTACCATTATGACGGTATATCTTGGCGTGTACACCGCTGGGGATCTGCTGATTTGGATCTGGAATGGTCAGGCTTCCGCGGACGTGTAAGGAGCACCTAGAATTCGTACGATGAACAGATGGAGAATGCCTCTGGAAGTTGAGAAACCCGGGTAAGTTGCTTCCAAGTACACCCGAGCCGCCCCTATTCGGTCTGCTGGGAGGCGTTGCCGATGATTGCCCGCTGTGGCTGTTCAACCCAGCTTCGAGGTTGATCGGACGCGAACCATACATTGTTAACTCAGGAAACGGAATATTGTGAAAGAAAAAGATGCTGCAGATCCAAAGAAGGTTGTGAAACGGGCTCCATATTGTAGAAAACGGCCTTGGTGCAGCAAAGCCGACCAAGATGTGTTCGGACTACGGACATGGCGAGGCTCTCGTCAAGAGAGACAGAAATGTTGGTCTTTGGACCCCAAAGAGAACACACGAGGGTGTAGGGCGAAGAAATGTAAGCGGATGACCAAGTATATTGCGCCGCTCAACTCTGAACCTTAAGCAGTCCACTGACAACTCGAGAATAGAAAAATGGACCGCGGCGGTCTGGAATGGTGTGATAGCTTTTCCCCCTGACTGGCTGCCTGGTCTATGCTGTCGCGTTTTCCATAAGGGCGCTCTTCAGAAGACCGGTGATGCCTCGATTCAATTACTGGCAGTGCGAGAGGAGTAAATCGCACCGAATGAGGATTCCTTGTAGATACCGAGAATCTTTCGGGAAAGACTTTGATGAATGCTGGAGCGAAACGGACCTACGGCTTAGAGCAAGTAGACATGGCGATGTAGGCGAAGCTGAAAATTTGGAAGAATGGCGGTAAGAATCATAGGGCACTGGAGGCTGCAAGTCATCTTGCAGGCGCCGCTGCTATGTCCGCAGTCCACCTGCAGGCTTCGTGGTGCCCATCATGCACGGGATCTCCAGCGCATAGGGCAGCATTCTCACCGGTTGTTCAAGGCCGGCGCTTGTGTGAAGCGCGTCCAACACACCGGTCTTCAAGGCTGTCTTAGGCGCCATCTGTAAGACATCCTTTCGCGGGGGGAAATGCCCAATCGTCAGCGGGCCTTACTTGCTTGTTGGTATAGTGAGGTCTCCAGTGGTCTGCTCCAATGCAGTTGAAACCAGTCGTCTTTTTGAGCCGGAAGGGGCCACTTGAGTATGCAAATATTGACGCTGCTTTGGACATGCTCGGCTTAGCCTGATGAATAAGAAAGGAAAACATGGATAAACTTCTGAGGGACGAAGGGAAGAGTGTCCAGGAACATCGACAATAAGCAGGAAGGGCAAAGCTACCCAATGCCAGTTGCCTCCAGAAAATCGTCATGCATGATACGAGAGGTAGCATCTGTTGGTCCTAAGACCACAAAAGGGGGTAAGTGCCAGCTCGATGGTTGATATGAATGCGGTATAAAGTCCGTTGCGAGCACAGAAAAAGAATGGAGTCCAACTCCAAAGGAGGGGGAAGGGGGTACGGGTATCCATTACCTTGCATTCATCTGCCAATGACACCCAGAAGCCATCACACAACTTCATGCCCAACAGGAACGTTACACAGTTCTTCTAGTCAGGCAGGTGATGACGGTGTCTGACGCAAGGCCAGTCTTCAAGGCCATCTTCTTCAGATAAAGTGACCCCCTGTAGCCGGCGGTCCCGATGAAATCTGCGGTCCCCGCGTTCCGAGCCGTTTTTAGCTCGACAACCCCAGTCATGGGCCCCTATTTTCCACGCGCGTCCGGTGTTACATGCCGGACTTCGCCGGCACATAAGACAATGTCGTCCCGCGAATTTCAACGACAGCCGGTCAAAAGGCTTACTTCGAGCCATTTTTGGTAGACCGTTGATCGAGTTCGCTTTTCCGCTTTCATTCTTTAACCAGTCTGCGAAGCCACTTGGCTTGATTGTAATTGCTTGATTCGAAAACCGCTTCTACTCAGAAACATGTGCAATTGGTATGTTGCTGTTTCACCCAGTTGATGGAAAGCAAACCGATGCCATTCAATGCCATTCATGATGGCCTGTCTTTGCTCAGAGTGCCGTTTGACAAGTGTCCACAACGCTCGAGAAGTATAAAATGACAGGCGAGAGGAGACACGTCTGCAAGCGCAACAGTTGTCGTGGAAAAATGACGGATCCAGAAGCACCGCGCGCATGGTTGAATTATTACCTGGTTTCGGTGATTTTCAGAGTTTCGAGGTTTCGAGGTTTCGGAGGTTAGGGCAGGTTGTTGGTTCTGCAGCATCAAGGCGCCCATGGATCAGGCACGCTCTTCAGGCATATCCGGCCAGCTCTTTACGACCACGAAATTCAGACAAAAGACTCGACTTCGAATCCCCAGAGACCTTGCTAGATATCTTCGACTGTCTCGGTGAGTAACAAAGGAGATTGTCATTCTAGAGACAAAAAAGCGTCGGTTAAGGAAGATGCTAATCTGGTGGTAGCATAGGTTGACAGGGGTCAAGCCACCCCGGCATTCTGCTGCGCTGGCAGCGTTGCTCCGGGGATCAGCGGCTCATAGACTGTCTGGACTAGCAACATCCGCTCAGGTGAAGGCAGCATTCGGCCGAATCATAGCACTAGGAAGTGCTGCCTTCGGCCCGCTGCACTTGCAGCGATGGAGGCCGCAAGAGCGAGACTCGAGATTCAAATCACCGGTACGGTGAGCGGTCTGACGGGATGAAATGAGCATGGCTTGCCAATGGAAAGGGCAGGGAGAACCATCGATCTTATCAAGGATCGCTTGCCCCGGTCCCAACACGCACCGCGTGCGGTCCGCTTCCGTCCTCCCCTGACGCGCCCAAGCGAGAGGTTGTTTCATCAGTGACTTGTAAGGCAGACAAGACGCGATGATCTTGACGTGACTCCCGCAATCGAGAGTGCGGTCAGTTCACTCGCCACTGCGTCCCCTGGCTCCAACCCCTCCCGGGGAATCAGGGACTCGGCGTCCCGGTCAGCCTCCCATCTCTAATACCGGGCGACAATACAATGTTGGCCTGCAGAGATGCATGCTTTCCACGAGCCCTCGATGGTCCGCACCCAGTCGCTTCCTTGCGAAGGACCTGCACGAAGACGTTCTGGGATACGCTCACTGCCGCGCTCGACCAGGACCCCGGCTCACGAGTATCTTCCACGGTATTGTAGAGCCGCCTCAGCGCGCTGGAATTGCCGTGCAAAAAGGCCGCCGAGCGTGAGGGATGGGATGATGGCTCTTGCAGCCTTAATTTTATCAGAAATCCCCTGCTGGTTTAGGGCTCGCGCACGGAAAACGCGGCTTTTCGTGGATGCAATAAATACAGGCACCGATTTACCTTACTCTATCCGCCGGCCATCTTCTCAACCGTGTCACCCTTTTTCGTGTGGAGGCACGAGTTTGGCGAGAGAACTGTCAAATTGCCGCTACGAGAAACGCCGCCACCGCCGAAAGCAACCCTGGGGCTAACGGACCGACGAAATGTGTCTTCCCTTCCGAAACAAATCTCAGTGAGTAAAACCAATCGCCGCCATGCAGTCTCCGATACCAAAGACGGCTGACCAGGCCTTCATCGCTACCGTTCAGGGCTCCCCCGGAGGAAAGGAGTCGCCGCAGGTCTTTCATCTTGGGCAGCTCACAAGAACGAGCAAAAACCGAGTCGCCAGCCTCATCAGGAAGCCGTCCTTCTCACACCGATGGACGTGGCAACTCCAACGACTCTCATACACCGACGACGACCCGAGGCCGTCCTTGACACCACGTGAATCAGAGATTTCGACCATAAACGCGTCAAACACCATAACATTTTGTTGCACGGGACAAAATGGTTTGTGGTTTGCGGAGGATTGGCGCCGCGCAAAGCATTACTGGGTTTTGCAGCAGTCCGGCTCGTCTAGTCTTGAGGCACAATACAAGAGGCATTGCAACCAACCCAAACATACTCTTTTTCAGACCAGCGTGGATGTGACAAACTTCATGTCCCTCTGCTCTTTGAGGTTGTCTGTTAGGCGCAGAATCGCGAGGACGATTGGGAAGAAGGATTGCACCACAGCGCGTTATATAGCACGGCAGCTTCGTATGGCATCATCGACTTTCGATACCCACATCGCACTGGAGGACCACTATCTACATGATTTCGCAGTCGGATACGATATGAATTAAACCATAAATCGTGTGATCAACATTATACCGCCTACGCTATGCATCTAGGTCTTCCGAATCCCAAGACCCGACAATCCAAACGCCCAAATCCAGCAAGGCTATTCCTCGTCACTGCTATCCATTACAAAGCCGCCCCTAGTACGTTTCCTTGGCCTCGCCGCGGCCGCCGGAACATCATCATCTTCAGTGTCAGCTTCCGCCCCCTTTTCCTTATCAGCCTCTGCCGTGGCAGAAGCCTCTGGAGACAACTTTCTCCGTTTCCTTCTACTCTTACTTTGCGACGAACCCGGACTCGACGTCAGCGGAGTGTGGTTGTCTTCCTCTCCGCTTCCATCGTCCATGTCCACGTCAGCGCTGGGCCTAGTTGACTGTGGTGTGCCTCTTGTGATGGCCAGGACGTCGTCATCGTTGTCATCACTGTCGTCTAGCTGCATCGCAGCTGCCCGCTTCGTGGTCTGGGAAACCTCTGCGACCACCTTTTCCGCAACCTTGGCTACGCGGGACCGCTGAGCCTCTTCACGAATGAAGAACTCGCGATCGTACTCTTCGTCCGTCTCGTCATCGCTAGCGTGCACATACGCTTCACTCTTGATCTTTCTCATCTTCTCCCTCTCACGGTCCCGGCGTTTCCTGGCCTTTTCTTCGAGTTCCGAGTCATTGGGCGCCTCCTCGTCCTCGGTCGCCTTTCTGCGGCGTCTCTTCTTCGTCTTCTTGGCAGGCGCGTCAATCGCTTTGTGAACTGTCGGGCCAAGGGGCTCGAACAGCGGGCCGTCATCGAACATGTCGTCGTCGTCATCGTCATCATACTCCACGCGTTTCCGTGGCGCCTTCTTGCGCCGAAGCTGATCTTCGGCGGATCGACCATCGTCAAAGGTTGGCGGACTGAATTCAGCCTTGTTGATGAAGTCGAGGCTCTCACGCAAGTGGTCCGCGGTGACAGGAGGAGGGAGTACCCAAAGAGACTGTGATGTCTCATCAAGCATTGGGGCGAGCCTTTCCATACCAACCAGTTTCATGAGAAGACGCAAGTGGGGGTTCTTGAACATTGCCGTCTTGCGAGAGTCGTCATCCGGACGTACGGCTAATGGACGTTAGCAAGTTCATGCGCGGCGCTGGGAAGACATTTAACTTACTGAAGACATCAGGCAGGGCCTGGTCGTTGGGTGCGCCATCCTCCGGCAGCACATCAGTGCCTTCAACCGACGGTATGATCTCGTTTGCTGCTGCCCAGGCACGGCGTTCGCTTTCGACTGTCTCGAGCGTTTTCTTGACCCAAGCGATGTGATCAGCTTGATTCTTGTCAAGCAAGACGCCAACGACGATAGCAATCTGCTGCTCCCTGTCTTCCGTGTACTTGAATTCGAGTTCTGCGGCGGGTTTTGCGTGCGACAGGGAGATCGTCTGCTGCTCGTAGCCGAACTCGAGGTAGTGAGCCGTGCTGTTGATCTTGGAGAAGAGCATCTCAATAATGAGCTCTGGCCGCTCGTCGATCTTCTTGATGCACTTTCGAATGATCTGCTTAGAGAGTTCTTCCCACTCCTTGTACATTCCGGAGCTCTTGTTGAGAGGTTCCGGGCCCTTGATCATGCCATGGAAGAGATGGATGATGTCAACGCGGAACAACATGACGCTCATCTCTTGCTTGAACGCGAGACGGTAAAAGTAGCGATGAGCACGCTTTAGCTGAGCATCGTCGAGATCTCTGTAGTATTTGGTGAAGGCGACGAATGTATCGACGACTCCCTGAGGCGTGAATCTGGATGTGAATCGATGGAAGTCGAACTTGCGCTCTTTGGACTCTCGCTCCGCATTGGCTTCGTCATTAGCGGATTCGTCTCCCTCGTCTGCCGCACCTTCCACGCCAGCAGCATCCTCAGCCGCCTTCTTCTTCTTCCTTGTACGCTTACGAGATCGGACCTGCATGTCCACATTCTGCTTCGAGTATGCCTCTAGGATGCGCAAGAAGTGATGTGTGAGTTCCGTGGCAGAGTCGAGATATTCGAAGCCCTGGTCCTTGTATTGCCTGACGACGTTGGCAATCAAGTCGTGGGTAGAGTCTTCGTAGAAGAGACGGCTGAGAATGTTCTCGGCAATCTCCTCGTCATCTTCGTTTCCAGATTCGGACATTTCCTGAACTGTGAGAAGAATCTGGGTGAAGCACCGGAAAGCGGCTGTCAATGTCGGCCACTCCTTGTGCTCCCAGGAGTCGTGCATGGTCTTGATCAGAATGATGAACATTTCTTGGTGCAGCACTCCGGCAACGAGGTTGAAACTGCTAACCTCGTCAGGAGCATTCGGCTTCTTTGCGTCACGTTTTGATTTCCTGCGAGCCCTTTCAGCCTCCAAAAACCATGCGACTAGATAAAAGAACTGTCTTCGGTGGTAGCCGAGGACGTGTGACGCCTCTCGTTCCAGAGACTTGCGGACATGCTCAAAAAGAGGGTTGAAACCTGCATCGAGAAAGTCCTCGACAAAAGTCCGAAGCTGCTTGCTGGCTCTCGCATTAAGCTTCACGGGAGCGCCCATGTCTTTGGCATCGGTCTCCTCCTTCTTCGACCTACGCGGCGGTCGGAATTTCTTCGACTCGTCGAGCTTCTGCTGCCGAGTTGCAGCATCTGCGAGCGCGTCCTGGCCAACGAGCGTAGATACCTTTCCGTCTTCGCGCTGCATCCAAACCATGGTGCCGAAACGATTGTGACGTGTCGGTGCCTTTTTGTTGTACGAATTGCGCATGGCGTTCTCTTTGCTCATCATTACCGATAGCTCCTTAGCCTTGGTCTTGTTCAATTGCTGTTCGTCCATGAACAGCTTCTTGACATCAACCTGCTTGACCAAGTGGAAGATGATTTCCATCACAGTAACATCCTCAGTCCTGAAGTCCTCCCCCATATTTGATGCAAACATCAGAAGCACCATGAAGATGTCCTGAAAGGAGAATGCGTCAATCGTCGTGGAACGGGATATCATGGTTTCGTCGCCGTCGAACTTGATGCCTGGCGATGGGGCAATCATGGCGATGTTACGTAGAAAGAAAAGGGCAAGCTTGATGATGCCCTGATCGCGGGGTGTGCGGTCGCCAATCGGAGTGGCCATTGCTGGGAGAGCGACGCGGACTGCGGTATGGAGGATCTGAGCTGCGTCGTAGTTGATGATTGCTCGCTTGTAGCCCAATTGGGCGAGTTCGAGGGCAGGCATGTGTCGGTGGTGGTTGTTGGTCATTCGCTCGGGGTCTTTTTCCAAGGGCCACGTGATGGGCACCAGCATCTCGATACATGCAAGTGCGATTCGCGCCCTGAATTTGTTGTCGGTGGCACTCTCAGGCCACCCCGCAAGAATCGGGAGGAGATCTCCCTCGACGAGGTTTGCTTCCGAGATGCAGCGGGCGACATCCATCCGGTTCGTCTTCTCGTCGTAGAATCGAATCCATTTCTTGAGGTCGCGAAGGACTTCGGTAGCGTCATCACCGAGTCTGTATGATCCATCTTCGGAGGAACCCGTTCCACCAAGCTATCGCACCGTCAGCGGCTGAACAGGGAATTGGACGGCTTTTCCACTTACAGCCGAAACAAGACTGTTGATGTGTGCCCGAACTTCGGGGTGGACGACATCGGTCGTTCCGTCTGGCATCTCCATCTTGCTGGAATCGGAGAGCTCACGGTGAGGGCTGAATCGACTGTGGTTGTGATGTTGAACCCATGCGCAACGCCTGGTCGAGCAAGTGTAGAGCTAAAGAGATTCGACACCAAGACGCGCTCGACGCGTACAAAGCGCGTTCCAATTTGGCAGACCACTCAAACTAGCCCCACGTTTATCGTGGCTAGTGCTGTGATAAGATTAGATAAGATAGTCGTGGCTGAGGCGTACCTTGCCTTAGCGCCAATGACCGAGGCCGAGGTTAGCCGAGGGCCTTGAGCTTGATCGTCTTGGATCATCATCGACGTACTCTCAGACGTCCGATCGCCGTTCCTGCTCAACTATCAAAACAAACATTAGCTTCTGAAAGGCTCAATCTACAAATTGACTCTTACCATCAAGTTTTGTTGGCAAATTGGCCGTCAGTCGTCTCAGCCGACCTGTTCTTGTCGACTCCTCAACCCCACTAATCCCTGTCCTCTGACGTCTTCCCCATCTCGACAACCATGGCGACTGCAATTGCTCGCGTACGATTCGCAGCCAAGCTGCCTGGCCAGATTCGTGCTTTCAGCTCGACTCCTAGGGTTGCTTCTGCGACAGGCGGAGTCAAGAGACTGGGTGTTATTGGTGCTGGACAGATGGTATGAGGGACCCAGTTGACATGTGAAACTCACGATCGAGTTGCTAACTGGCTTCACTCAGGGTCTGGGCATTGCTCTTGTGGCCGCACAAAAAGCTCAAGTCCCCGTCACTCTCGTAGATGCAAACAAGGCAGCTCTTGATAAGGGCCTGGGCTTTGCCGGTGAGTCCGCAGCATCTCCAGTCGCATGACTTAGCTGACTGGCCGGCAGAGAAGCTCCTTGCCAAGGACGTGTCTAAATCTAGAATCACCCAGGAGCAAGCTGACCAGGCGCGCTCTTTGCTCTCTCCGGCCACTTCAATCGACCAGCTTTCAGATGTAGACTTTGTCATTGAGGCCGTCCCAGAGATCCCCAACCTCAAGTTTGAGATCTTCTCCAAGCTCGCTGAGGTCTGCCCCAAGCATGCCATTTTGGCCACCAACACCTCCTCTATTTCCATTACCCGCATCGCGGCGTCGACGACAAAGGACCCCACGGACACTTCCGCCAGCTCCCGCGTCGTCTCTACTCACTTCATGAACCCCGTTCCGATCCAGAAGGGCGTCGAAATTATCGGCGGCCTGCAAACGAGCCAGGAGACTCTGGACAAGGCCGTGGCTTTCTGCAAGGCCATGGGCAAGGTCACCTCCGTCTCTGCTGATTCCCCGGGTTTCCTCGCCAACCGAATTCTGATGCCTTACATCAATGAGGCAGTCATCTGCTTGGAGACCAACGTCGGCGACAGAGACTCCATCGACGCCATCATGAAGAACGGAACCAACGTGCCGATGGGACCCCTCCAGCTTGCTGACTTCATCGGTTTGGACACCTGTCTTGCAATTATGAAGGTGCTGTATGAGGAGACTGGCGACTCCAAGTACCGTCCAAGCGTGCTTCTGCGCAAGATGGTCGATGCAGGCTGGTTTGGCAAGAAGAGTGGAAAGGGTTTCTACGACTACTAGACTGGGTACCAAAAGTTGGTCTCTTACGGTGTTGGTAACTGGGATACGTCGGCTTCATGTGGAGTAAAGCTGGGAGACTGATTTGTTCACTGTCGGCTCAATTGACTTCTTAACATCGCCATCCCGTGCTGTCCGAGGCGTGACATATTGACTGGAGCATTACAAATCTTTCATTGCCAATTCAGGGGCTTCTCTGCGTCGATATACGAGTATCAAGCAAATTCTCGTCCACGGCTTCATGAGCTCTAAGAGACAAGGATTCTTCTTGCTCAATGTCTTGTAGGATTGTTTCGTCTCCTTTTCCATTTCTGTACCTTGCTGTGTGTCGTACCTTGGACTCTTCTTCCTCTACACCCGTTTTCCTGCCTCGCCCGACACTTTGTCATGCCATTGCATCGAATAAACATATTTGCCTGTCCCACAGGCGAAGTCTTCGCTCCCTGCGAAGCAACGTTTGACCTCCTAAGTGGCGACTGTTTCCGGCGTAAGCTTCAACGCGCAGGCCGTTCTACAAGAGACGTGTCAAGCTGTTAGTGACAGGCAACATAGCTCGACATCCCTTGCCATCGTCCGAATCTTCGAACCCAACCTACACCTCGTCCTCGGTTTCATCTTCTGGCGTGTTTCTATCAACGAACAACCTCCGGTGGCTGCGTTCAGGGGGACGAGGCAGCCACAATGGGACGACCCAGACCGGCGACATGTCAACGGGACCGGCCCTGAAGATCATCGTGGCAAAAACCGGCCAAGCGTGTGACCATCGTCCCAAATTCGGAAACTCTTTTCCATGTTTTCTGGCCCCCTCTTTCCCCTTCCCCCCTTCCCGGCTCATGGTCAGACGCAGCTCTCAGGGGCGAGGTGCTGGGGGAGACCCAGGCTGACAGAAACGTCTGCGGGAGTTCCCTGAAGATCATCAGGGCGGCCTAGACGTTGTTCTGGTCTGTCCGAGGGTCATGTATCATGGAGTAGGCTTTGTCTTGCGTGTTTCGAGGTGTTGTTTCTGGTATAATGGGGGCCGAAAGGGGCGAAGCTCCCGTCTGATGGTTGCCTGCCACGCATCGAGGAGGCCAGGAGCAAGCTAGATCCTTACGATGAGAGTTGACAAGAGAGGCTGCTTCTGGATGTCATTCGTTGCCCCTGCCTGTCAAACGCTAGCTTGAATGTGGCGAGGTGGACGACGGGTACGCTGGCGAAGAGGTATCAAGTTGATACAGCATCAGTCGACCCAACTCAATTTTTCCTAGCGTGTACTCTTGACCTAAGCCTTGTTACTATGGGTAACGTCATCTATCTGAACTACGTGTGGCGAAGCCGTTCAAAGACGTCTCAGGGGCTGTGGGAGTGGCAGGCTGGGCACCGGAAGCGAAAGTTGGCGATGTTGAACCACAAGCTTGACTGGAGGAAACTATCTGCATATTGGACTAAAACTTAAACACAGATATTTCTTTTTGTACAAGTTTCCTTGACTATACTCAAGGTTCATGTGGTGTAATAGTTCAACCTCGTGTATACTATCACGACACACAAACAGCCTGACGACCGTGCCACCATAACAGGCCTTGCTTGTATCGACCACTGGCCTATGCGACAGGTAAACGACTGTCCAAAGCTCCTGCGACCGTTTCTAGCTTTCTGTTGAACACTTTGACATGTTCGACGTGGGATAATAGGCTAGTGCCGCATTTTGGGATCGTAAATAGATTCAGGGGCGTATAAACGAAACATCCCAAATTAATAGTACAAGCAACTTCGCTCAAAACGGCCAACTGGCTTACAAAACAGGAAAGAGATAAAAAGAATGCAGACAGGTATATCCGTGATCTCCTCAGGTCAATTTGTTGCTATGTCTTTGTATCTGAGGGACTCGTCGACGGTCGTTGAGGATCATGTTGCGGCGAGTCTGGAGAAACACGTGGTTTGCAACAGAATCGCGTGGCAGGCAGAAACTCCATTGCTCTAAATGTTGACTTCTACTACCATGTGTCGCACGTGAAGGTGCCTTTCTCTTGAGGGCTCGCAAACTGTGTTTACTGCTCTGCTGGAGTGGATGATGGTCTTCATGTACATGGAACTGACCAACAGAGACTTGAATGTCGACAGGAATAATGAGGAAACATGGATTCATAGAGACCGTCATTTCTTCCTGTGCTAGGGTAACTACATCTCCTATGTACTGAGTTCCTCGAACTAATTACGATAGTAGAAGGAGTAAAAGGACTAGAAGTGACGACAACAATAGACGATGATGATAGGCAACGACAATAATAACGGTAGTGGTCACAACAACGAATACCAGTTATTAGTTTATAAAACTAGTCGTTCTAGCACAGGCGAAATGGACAGTCTCGTTTAGTACACACAAATGCTGTCCTATTGCTAGGAAAGGATTGAATGAATGATATTCGAGCATAGAATCAACTCCCTAACATTGTATTCAGCTTTCGTATAATCAACTACGTAACCTACTTCCACACTTGATAACAACGGAGTACTCCATTTGATCTAGAAGCTCACTTTCCGATGCCTGCATTTCTCAGAGATGATTCAAATGACTACTGCTGATTCTTACGTGCGGATTGTCTTACAGAAGACAGCTACAGTGAACACCCACCAAGCCTCCAAACAGAACACCGGCTGTCACGGAAGCTTCCAATCGTCCACATCAACTTGACAGACGTCAACAGCAGGCGCCCAAATCCAACTTGATAATCTCAGTCTCTGCACCTCCATCACACCATGATCGAAACGACGAACCGCCGCCAACCCTCAACATCGGATGGGTCGTCACATAAACAGGGGCAACAACAGCATCCTACTGGACAACGCAACCAAACAAGGGGCAAACGAGGGGAAGACAGAGATCGTCACAACCGCCCAGAGAAACCATCCGAACACGACGGTCTAGAACCTGTATTGTGCCGCTCACGGTAGCATTCCACGACGACCCTCACGCAAGCACTTACGGAAGCCCTCCCTCATCCACCTCCCCTTCTCCCGTCCACCATCTCCTTCCACCAAGAAGTGACCTATCTCATCGCCAAACGACAGCGGGCACGAATCCCAATTCCCCCGCGGGAAAACCCCCAAACACCCGAGCCTTTAGCTCCGGAGGGTGGAAAACTGCAACACCATACTTGGGCCCGCCCCCGGGAGGCGAACACGGAAGTCCGCCCTCGGCAGCCCGCAACGCAATTCCCACAAAACACACAAGAGCTCCGCGCCACTCGGCCGCAGGCACGGGAACAGGGACACAGGATGACGGCTTGGAGTGGGCATGTCTCTGTCTCTCTCACGATGTCACTCCTGAGACTTTCTTGTCGGTGTCTACGGCATACACGCCCCCAATCTATCGGACACCCGCGACGGCGGGAAGACGAAACGGACGAGGCAGCCGCGGCCGGGGGGGACACTCGTTCGACAGAACACCCGGAGCCCGCTTCGCATCAGCGATACGGGAAACCGAACACGGCGCATGGAGAGGCAGACATTCACGCAAAAACAACAACATCAAAAGGTCCGCAGGCCGGGATGCCGCCGTCTCTGTGCCGCGTTTCTGGAATCAGTGTACAGCCACCCCGAGGACGGCCGATGCCTGTTGTCCTGTAAGAGCCGCGGTGGAACAAGTCCAGACTCTCCTTCCCTCTCGGCTCTCTATTCTAGACGCGGTATCTCGCCGAGACTCGTTCTGGGTTTCGAGACGATCGTGAAGTTCGACGACACACGTACAATTCCCACGAACGCGGCCCCATCACCATCTCAAGTAAAGATGTTCCTCACGCGGGATTGGAATGGTATACCCAACCCTGTCAAAAGCAGCAGCAACAGCATCAGAAAAAGCCGCGACCGAGGCAGAGAAAGCCCACCAATCCCGCTACGTGTCGTAACGTCTCATGAGCTTCATGGGCTTCACACATTTGCGAGAGAGGTACATACTGCCCACCCCCGGGACGGACAACACATCAACCTTGCGGTTTTGTAATCTACCTTACCTTACCTAGTGATCGCCGACCATCATGAACCACTTCTTCGCACATTTCGCATGCAAAAAAATGCCGAACCGGTGGCCTTAGTCCCGCGAGGGCACGGGGAGGGGGCGGCTCTGCCACTGCAGGTTTTCCTCTTTCGGGTTTTCCATGGCGTGAAACACGACGTGCGGGGCGCCGCTGCTGCGATGGGAACGATGCGAGGCACGCAGGAACCACCAACTGGCTGCGAGACGCGTATGTCTGCTACAAGAGGTGGAGGGAGGACCAGACAACACAGCCGCGCATGTAGCAACGTCAAAAAAAGGAAGGAAGGAAAGGAAAGGAAAGGAAAGGAAAGGAACAGCTATAGCGGACAAGGAGTCTCTGAATCGTTCCAAACGCGGTGCGGGAGGATTTTCTCGCAGCGGTTTTGGTGGGTTTGATTCTCTCTCTCTCTCTCTCCGGGCGTTGACGCGGTGCTTGTTTGAGAGGCGTTTAATGGGCGCGAACCTGATCGACGCGGGCTACCGTCCTCCCACCCCCAGAGATTTGCGACTGCGGGAAGGGGAATCATTCATGGCACGACTTGCGACGAAGTGTTGTCCCGTTGTGGGCGATGGCGAGGTGTTGAGATTTGGCAAGGAGGCTGACTGCAACCCCGACGAGCAATGCGGCAAAAAGCAAAGAACACGGCAATGGAGAATGACAAAAAAATTGGCACTTTTGGCGTCGACCGGAAGTGAAGGCATGAACGGGCTGGATGCAAGCACCCGCCTCCAACGGTCGCCGTAGATGCCACCTCCCCTCCGGAAGGCAACCTTAACTGGCAGGTATCGAGTACAACTCGGTCAGGATGATGCATTCTCCTCGCGGATGCGGGTGCGCGCGCGCGCGGGGGTGAGAGAGAGAGAGAGCGTTGGCAGCGATCCCGAGTTTTGCGATCTGTCAGGTCGCATTGAAAGGGCTGAGGAGGGGAGGGGGACAATGTTCACTGGTACTGGCAGAGGGCCGCACGGATTCTGACACTTGCTCTGC